TTGAGATCAGGCTTGCTAGCCACTTTGCTTCTCAATATACTCTGGTTGCCCCTTCATGGATCACTGCCTTGCCGTGGCGAAGGGGCTTGAAGAACTCAGAGAAGCTATGAACTATGCCGAGCAGGGCACACAAGATGAACAGGTCATAGTGGAGAGTTTTGACCAAACGTGATCCACCTGGAGGAGGAACCGGCAAGCCACTCCAGTATCCTTGCCAAGAAAACTCCATGGACAAAGACAACAGGCATATAAAAGTTATGACGCTGGAAGATGAGCCCCTCAGGTCGGAAGGCGTCCAACATGCTACTGGGGAAGAGCGGAGGGCAAGTACAAGTAGATCCAGAGCTGATGAAGCGGCTGGGCCAAAGCCGAAAGGACGCTCAGTTGCGGATATGCCTGGAAGCGAAAGGAAAGTCCAATGCTGTAAAGAAAAATATTGCATAGGAACCTGGAATGTAAGAACCATGAACCTGGGTAAGTTGGAGGTGGTCAAAAATGAGATGGCAAGAATAAATATTGACATCCTGGGCATCAGTGAACTAAAATGGACGGGAATGGGCGAATTCAGTTCGGATGACCATCACATCTACTACTGTGGGCAAGAAAACCCGTAAAAGAAATGGAGTGGCCCTCATAGTCAACAAAAGAGTGGCGAAAGCTGTACTGGGATGCAATCTCAAAAATGATAGAATGATCTCGATACGAATCCAAGGCAGACCTTTTAACATCACAGTAATCCAAGTTTATGCCCCAACTACTGGTGCTGAAGAAACTGAAATTGACCAGTTCTATGAAGACTTACAACACCTTATAGAAGTGACACCAAAGAAGGATGTTCTTCTCATTATAGGGGACTGGAATGCTAAAGTAGGGAGTCAAGAGATAAAAGGAACAACTGGCAAGTTTGGCCTTGGAGATCAAAACGAAGCAGGGCAAAGGCTAATAGAGTTCTGTCAAGAGAACAAGCTGGTCATCACAAACACGCTTTTCCAACAACACAAGAGACGACTCTACACATGGACATCACCAGATGGGCAGCATCGAAATCAGATTGATTATATTCTCTGCAGCCAAAGATGGAGAAGCTCTATACAGTCAGCAAAAACAAGACCTGGAGCTGACTGTGGCTCAGATCATCAGCTTCTTATAGCAAAATTCAAGCTTAAACTGAAGAAAGTAGGAAAAACTGTGGTGATTTACGATATTGGCGCGACTCCCGCTAATTGATTTATTGGTCCTCAATTAGCCATTGCAGCCCGGCACACTTCCCTCGAGACTCTGCTCCGTCTCCAGCAGCTCTTCAGTCAGCTCCAGTCACGCCAGTAGCAGAGATAAGCACAGCGGTGATGAAACTGTCACGTCCTTTGCCTTAGCTTCCAGACAAACACACACAGAGTCCAGGCTTGTCCTTTTCAGCTCTTTATTCCGACATTCCCCCAGGGATTCCCCCTGGGCTCCTGGCAGCCATTACCGGCTACGTCTTTCTCCCTCACCGGCCAGAGGGGAACAGAACAGAAACCCCTCCCAGGCTCCTCCCAGCTTCCATAGCTGACGTCAGAATGTTGAGGCATCCTGGGAACTTCTTAACCAGTTAAGTTCCAACCTCAACACCCCTCTTGCTGAAACCATTCTGACATGACCTTTTGAGCTCAACACCTTTACCTTTGCCTTGTGCCACTTCCCGGCATCTTTCCCTGGCACCTGTTGAACCCCTTCAACATTCCCAGAATCACACTGTGCGACACTTTTCCACGCACCTGTGACCTGATACCCTACTGACCCATTAGGGCCAGCAGTTGTGTCTTCTCCGTCAGACTCTTCCCCTCTGACTTGACACCCCTTCCGTGAGCTTTCTCCATTACCGGAGATTAAGCCTCACACCTGGACACTCCTTTCACAACCCTTGGAGATGCCCAAACCTGCCCTGAACCCTGACCCTGGACTTGGTCCCCATCACCGGGTTTTGAACCCTGATTCTGGACCTGATCCCCGTCACCGGGCTCAGCCACAGCCTCCCTTCTCCTTGAGAAGACTTTGCACCCGTCACCTAGTGACGTTTTTCCTTTTCCTTGAAAAACTTCTCCAGAGCAGACCCAGTAAACTGTGACCCTCGGTCGCTCTTGAACCCTTGCACCTTGGTGGAGAACCTTATTCTACCTCCGCAACCCAATCCTTGATCAGTTGCGCCGCCTCCCCCTGTGGTTTGAGAGAGAGACACCAGCCAACCTGGCTGTGGTCATCTGTCAGCGATGGCACATACCTGGCCCCACCCAGACTCTCACACCCCATGGGTCCTGACAGATCTGTGTGAACAAGCTCAAAAGCTTCCTTGGCTACCCTCCCAACCCGGGAAAACCAAGCACCTTTGCACCTTTGCATGCCCTGCACCCTTGGGACCTCCCACATTCCGGAGTTTGTACCCTTTTGTGCACCTGTGCAACTTTTGCACATCACTGGGAACCTTAGCACACTGCACCTGTGCTTTTTCCAGCATTCCCACCACCCTCCATAGGTGACTCCAGAACAAAGAATTGTTCTTGCTATTCGCCATGTTGACCCGTTGTCGCCCCCTCTGAAAATGGAACAGGTGTCATTTTCAAAGCACATTTTTGAACCCCTGCTTCGTTAGAGCAGATACAGATAACCGACAACTATTCAGTCCCGGCACAACGTAGACCTCTTGCTCCTCCTATCAGGTGCTGCCTGATAGCAGAAACCAAAACACCCAGCGTGTCACCGTGTCCTGGCTGGTGTTGTTCTTCACAGTTGCCATAGAAGCAACAAACGTCCCGCTGCCCCCTCTGTCCTTGGCAGCGTCCGAAAACCGCAACATCCTGCGTTGCTCTGAAGACTGGACTTATCTCAGAGTTCCCAGACAACTCTGCAGCACGTGTCTCCCGCTGCAGCAGATGGCTGGCCTTGAAGCCTGTAGCAATGACGAACTCCATGGAAAAATACTGCTCCGGGCTCCTCCCAGCTGCCTGGCCCTCCTTCTTCCGGAAAAACACTCCTTGCCAGCTCCGCCCCTCTCTGAACCTCCACTTGATTCCAGCACGTACAGTGGAAACTTTAAACGTGCCTTTGGAAACCTTCCGCCCCCCCGACCTGCTCAGCAGCACTCCTTGTGGCTAAAGCATCAGGGACAGGGGCTTCAGCCATCTTTAGGCTTTTGTATTCCTTCTCCAGGGCTCTGGCCTCCTGCTGAAGCTTCACAGCAAACGCAGCACATTTTTCAACAGGGTCCCCACTCACCACACACAGGAGGGAGGAGAACCCTGAACAATGGTGTGCAAACCCTTATATAGACTTTTGAAATTACCCATCCTGTAGCCCAAGACCACCTTCCCAAAACATCATACATACCTCACAGAAGGAGGCGGTCTACAGCAGAAATCCTTTCTGCCAGGATACCTAACAATGGTCACTGGTTGCATTACCTGGACAGCCTGGCCATTCTTTTGTGATGGTTAATACTTTAGTTCCTGAATCCAGGCCACAGGCTCAAATTCATACACAAATATGTCCTTAAGAGGGGATTTGCAAGCGAAAAGACAATGGGACGGCTTTCCCCATTTGCCTCCCTTACTGCAGAGGAATATTTGAAGTCATTGGGAGAGTCAAAATGGCTCCAGGATTGCTCTCCCATACTATTTCAGACACATGGTTCATATATTTAGATATGTGTGCATTTATGAACATTTATTCTACATTTGAGACCTTGAAATTCTTATAACATAATGTTTGTTTGTCTGTTGTACTCCACCCATCTGACTGGTTTGCCCCAGCCATTCTGGGCAGCCACTTCCAACAAAATATAAAGGAACATGGCAAAACATTAAAACAATAAAGTTTCCTGAATAGTGCGTAATTTGGGAGGGGTTATAGATCAGGAGTGGAGCCCTTGCTTTCCGTATGGAAGGGACCAGGCAGCAGGTTGTGAGCAACACCTGGGCCTGAGATCTGTAGAGGGCTGCTAAATAAGTCTCTTCTGCTTTAAGGCCACTTCCTAATATTACCCAAGTTATTACCCTGCCACCTTTGCCTAAGGCAGGAAAATGTCTTGGGCCAGCTGTGGGTACATTGAAGGAGTTATACTATATGATGGCCATTTCCCTTTGTCTTCCTCATGCAGGTTAGAGGCCATATCTGGCTGCCCGGCTGTGCTAAAAAATGCATCTGTGACCCCCAGGGCAATTTCCGTTGTTTCACAGCTAAATGCAACCGGGGCCAGCAGTGCGCCCTGAGGGACGGACAGTGGGGCTGCCGGAGTTTCCTGACCACCTGCGTTGTGACGGGAGACCCTCACTACTTCACCTTTGATGGTGCAGTGGTGCACTTCCAGGGCAGCTGTGACTACGAGGTCTCTTACACTTGCAACTCTTCCTGGGATTTCTCCTTCCGGGTTATGGCTGCCAACAGGCATTTCTGGAAACCCAGCGTATCCTTTGTTTACCGAGTAGAAATCTGGCTCCTCACCAGCCACTCAAGTTTCCACATCGTCCTAGAGCGAGGCAAAGCTGCCCATGTGAGTTGAGGTGGGATGCTCACTGTTATCAGGCCTGCGAGCTTGCGCTGATTTAGTCAGCAGGGCCATGGACCTGGTGTTGGATTTGGAACTGGAGGGTGTGTGGCCAGTGGCGGCTGGAGCCCATTCCAACTGGTAGGGTGGCTGGACCAATGGTAGGCAGATTTAGAACGAAAGATAGGGGAACCAACTGTGGTGATCACACAGGGTCCCCAAACGTTTCACCGTCCATTGATCCCTGTGCCACCACTTTATTTCTCGCTGCCATCACCCAGGCCCTACCTAGTACAATACTGAGTCCAGTCAGGTTTAAATTGGAACATAAACCTCTGTTTATTTATTGCAGTTTAACAAGCGTGTGGTTTCATAAACAGTATTGGTCAATTACATGCATGGGGTGCCTATCCAGACCTATAACTTCCGCTACCTGCTCTCACTCACTAAACCACCTCTCTGATATTTGCTTGTCTTCCTAGCCCCTAACTGTTCCTGACTCAGCTTATTTCGCTACACTAACTCAACCTACCCACAGACTCTATCCCAATTCACTCCCACTCCAACCAACCACCCAACTCCCAACAAACTCTCCCCTCCACCCCTCCCAGAGCTGGTTTTATAGTCCCTCTGACTCCACCCCTCCGGGTTCCGATTGGGTAACCTGTTTAACTATTTCACCTCCAGCACTCTCATATGTTAATGTCACACCAACTAATGCTAGTTTGGCCCCCGCCCTCCTTTCTGCTGTGTTGCCGGAGCAAAACTGAGACCAAAGCAGAGGTGGTTGGCTGGCATTGTCTTCTTGTAAGTAAGGTAGGCAGCTGGGGGGTGGCTGAGGGCAGACCCAGGTTGGTGTGGCAGTGCCTACTGAGCTACCCTCTGTTGAACATGGCTGGTTACCAGGCAAGAAAACAACGAACAGGGTGGTGATACAATGAATACTGCAATCGACACGAGATAATATTGACACAAGGCAACTATCTGTAAACAAGCAATAAGCATCCATAAAAATGGCAGAAGTAGGTTCTTTCCCAAATAGGTTTTATCTTAAACAATAGCAAACACAGTAAATAAAGAGTTCTCTTGTGATATATCAGTGGTTCAGTGCTCATTTCTTCTCTTTCCAAAAAGATTTTGGAAATTCTATTAAATAGGAGGTTTAACAAACTGAAGGACTTTGTCCTCTTTCTATGCTCCTCCCGATGGAAACACACAGATGGAAACAGATATATCCTTGCTTTAAGTTGTTTACATACTGTCTTTTCTTGTATATTCTTGTATATTTTTTACTACAAAGTTGATGACTAAGCTCTTTAGCAACGAAATGCCCGATGTCTGGGCACTGAACCACTGGTATATCACAAGTGGACTATTTATTACTGCATTTGCAATTGTTCTATTGTTCTATGCAATTGTTCTATCTAAAATCTATTTTGGAAAGAGAAGAAATGAGCACTGAACCACTGATATATCACAAGTTAACTCTTTATTTACTGCCCTGGTTCAAGACCCCACCTCCTTACTGTTAGCAACACAGCTAACAGGAAAAACAAAGCTGGTACTACAGAAACTGCTTTTCTTCCCCTGCCCCTTTTAATATACAGGTTAATGGCAGAAGGACCCAGTTGCCAGCCCATGTTGGATCCATTGCTCTGATCTTCAGACTGAGGCACATGGTGGTCGTAAGAACAAAAGCCAACTTAGAGATCCAGTTCAATGGGGCCAGCAGTTTGTTCATCCGGGTGGGCCCAGAGTACCAGCATCAGCTGTGCGGAATATGTGGAAATTTCAATGGTGATGCCACTGATGATAAAGTCCTGCTCAGTGGAGAGAAAGATCTGAGTGATGCAGAGTTTGGGAATGCCTGGATATCAAGCACCAGCCCCAAGTGGTAGGAGTATTCCCTTTCCCCCAGAGCTAAAATGGAACCTGCTCTGTTCTCCTGTGACCTATATTCCATGCAAACAGGGCTGGTCCTGCCATAAGGCAGAGTTGAATTAGCCAGCTTAGACAGCAGATGCCGTGGTGTGTCACACAACCTGCCCTACACCTTGTAAAATACGGTAGCCTGCTGGCCTCAGATGCTGTGTGTTTAAGTAAGATTCAACCACTAGTCCACTGGGTTTCTGTACACGGAATTGTCAGGGAGCCATTTTTTAATTTTATTTTTTGCCTCGGGTAGCGAAAAATCTTGAGCCAGTCTTGCATGAAACCCTTTCTTAGGGAAACACAACTGCCCAACCTTATCAGCAGAGGTGTTGGAAGAAAAGCAGTTCTCTCACAAGGCAGTCCTCTCTCTCTCTCTCTCCAATTGCCGCCAGAGAGGCTGTTGATGTATTATCTTCCCCTAAGGAGAAGAGAGAAGAACGAGAAACACTCTGGTGAGCTACCATCCAACTCCCAGTTGTGGTTCCTCCGTGCCCCAATGGCCACCAGAGGATGTTTTGATATTTGATAGTATTTAGGGGATGACATACATTTTGCATTTGACAAGTAGGCCGCTTATGACATTTCCTATTTTATGATTTCCTTTTTTAAAAAAAAACACCCAAAACATCTGATCAGATTTGAAGTTATTAAATGTTAAATTCTGTTTTGTTTTGCTGCTTGTTTTTCAAAATCACATTATAATGTGGATTATTCAAAATGTGAAACGGCAGAATTTGGCAAGAGGGTGAATTTCAAATATTTTCAGAGTATCCGTCATATTTACCAAGGGCAAGCAAATTTTTGTTCAGAAGAACTTTCTGATATGATTGTGATTCGTGATCATTTTAAATGATGAGATTAGTTTAACCGGTTTTCCTGATTGTTTCACATGGATATACAGTGTAACATACATTATAAACCACCTTTGAGCTAGCATTTTAACCAGAGTGGTGCAAAATGTTTCAATTAATAAACAGCTGGTTCTCCTTCAGTCTTGCCACAATTCTTGGGACTCAGCTAGTCTGGTAAAGAAAAAGTGATTTATATGCATTGGATAGGCAATATAACATTGTGCCACCAGATGGCGACGTGGAGTCCCGTTTTTCTCTACCTGTTTTCCCTGTTTAAATGTACAATGCTGTAGACTGAAACGCTTCTTTGATGTGCCTGGATCCAGCCTTGTTCTTCCTATTATTCTTTTAGGTGTCAGAACGACACTGGGCGTCTTCATCCATGTCCCAAACAACATGTGTTTGAGCGGAAGTGTGCTATCCTGATCAGCGATCCTGGGCCCTTCTCCGAGTGCCATTGGCACAGAAGCCCCGACCCTTATTATGAGTCCTGTGTTTATGACCTCTGCCAGTACGGACAGGCCAACCGCATGCTATGCGGAGCCATTGAAGCCTATGATGAGATGTGTACCATTATTGGTGTGAAGGTGACAAACTGGCGTTGGGAGATTGGATGCAGTAAGCAAAAAGGGGTATTTGCTTTTATGTTGAAGTGCTTGCACATTAGGCCAATAACTACTTCTGCCTGAGAGCTTCCTCAGTAAGATGCCTGGACCCCTTGCAAGAATCTCTGGTTCAAGACTGCCATCGGTTTCTGCTGGGTGAAAGCTCAGTCATTGTGGAGCATATGTTCCACATGCAGAAAGCCCCAACTTCTCCAGCTGGAGCTGGGAAAGCTTTCTGTCTAAAATCCTGCCAGTGGCCATACAGTTGTCACCTAAGCAGCAGGATAGCTTATGTGGTTCCATCTAGATGTTGTTGGACTCCAGCTCCTATCAGCCCCAGCTAGCATCACCAGTAGTTGGTGGTGATGGGAGTGTTAGGATATAGTTACATTCCACCTTAAAAGGGTCAGACATGACTGTTGTGTATCACATGCCTGTTTACATCCAGCACAGTCTGCTGGGAACTTCCTTTGTATGTTGCTTTTGCTATACTGCTGTTTTGCTGGACACAAAGGCATGCAGACATGTTTTCCTTGGTTCCTGAACCATGTTGAATAAATGCTGTACATTTTTGCTTGCACATCTCTCTGTCCGCCTCTTCGCTGTGAGGTGATTTACACACTCTGCTGACAGAGTGTGCACGCGTCTCTAATCATATCTGAGGCTCGTTTCGCTGACTGACTGATGCTGTTCCACGGGAGACCAGTGATCGTCCGGAGCCAGCTGGGGGCCTGCCTGATGCCCCCGTCTCCCCGCATAGCTGTCAACTTTCAGATTTGAAAATAAGGGATCAGCAGCCTCGAAAATAAGGGATCAGCAGCCTCACCTGTCCCGGGGACAGTCTATGGGATATCTACCAATCCGGGATAGCAGCGGGAAGCAGTGGGAAATGGTGCTGGAATAAGGCAATTTCCCGCCAAAAAAGGGAAGGTTGACAGCTATGTCTCCCCGGCAGTATCCCAACAGGGAGCTGTAGTCCAACAATATAGAAACATAGAGTTGGAAGGGACCCCCAGGGTCCCCTAGTCCAATCCTCTGCTGTGCAGGAATCTCAGCTAAAGCATCCATGACAGGTGGCCATCCAACCTGTGCTTAAAAACCTCCAAGGAAGGAGAGCCCACATCTGGAGGGCACCTCATTGTCTATCCTCCTGCAGACAATACAAGATGATTTCTAGGTTGTTCTTGGTGCTACTGCTGTGAGTCATAAGGACCCCAAGCAGGTTCTCTCCTACATAGAGATTCAACCATTCTGTGTGTGCACTAAATAGAAAAGAGGGGTAGAATAATCATTACTAATAGCTGTGTGTCTATAGGACAATAATATGCCCCTAACATGCATGCAATATGCATATCAATGTAATATTCTTGACATCTCTGTCAAATTAAGATCATAATTAAGATCAGCCCACAATATCTTTGGGACTACAACTCCCATCATCCCTGACTATTGGCCATGCTGACTGGGGCTAGTGGAATTTACGCTCCCAAACATCTGGATTAGACAAATGGATAAGGCAAATGTCTTATGGCTAACCTCTCAAACATAATTTGCCTTTGCCTCCTGTAGGAACCATGGTGATGATGATGATGATGATGATGATAATAATAATAATAATAATAATAATAATAATAATAATAATACATTATTTATACCCTGCCCATCTGGCTGGGTTTCCCCAGCCACTCTGGGCAGCTTCCAACAAAACACTAAAATACAATAACCTATTAAACATTAAAAGCTTCCCTAAACAGGGCTGCCTTCAGATGTCTTCTAAAAGTTTGGTAGTTATTTTTCTCTTTGACATCTGGTGGGAGGGTGTTCCACAGGGCGGGTGCCACTACCGAGAAGGCCCTCTGCCTGGTTCCCTGTAACTTGGCTTCTCGTAGCGAGGGAACAGCCAGAAGGCCCTCTGTGCACCAAAATGTTTGACCAATACAAATGCAAAAAAAGAGAGACCTTACCAGGACTTTGCCTTGATATGCTAAGTTTGAGCATGAACGGCTTCCAAAGCATTTCACGTTTTTCTCCCCCACAGGTTTTACCTGTCCGTTCAACCAGTATTATGACTTCTGTGGCCCAGCCTGCCCAGCCACTTGCGCCAACCTCAATGCACCCTCCCGTTGCACAAAGCCCTGTGTGGCAGGCTGCTTCTGCCGAGAAGGCTATGTTCTTCACTCCGGGGTGTGCGTGCCCAGGAGGATGTGTGGCTGCATGCTGGATGGCCGCTATTACCAGCTGGGAGAGGAAGTGACCCTGACAGACACTTGCAGCAAGAAATGTTCCTGCAAGCAGCCTGCGCACCACATGGAATGCCAGGAACATGCCTGCGGGCCTCTGGAAATATGCAAAGTTGTGGATGAAAAACGGGGCTGTTACCCCATGAAAAACGGCACCATGTGGATATACAGCCATTCTCGCTACATCACATATGATAATCACGTTTATGGTTTCCGAGGCGCCTGCAAATACACCCTGACTACCTACTGTGGCCCCCCAGGAAAGCTTCCGGGTTTCACGATCAAAGTGCTGAATATACACAAGGCCTCCCTCGCGGTGACGACAGTGAAGCAGTTGGAGCTCGATATCTATGGGGAGCAAATTATTATAGAAGCAGGACAGGAAGACAAAATACAGGTATGGCTTTGCTGTGTTATCCTTGCTTCTCTGGGTCCCTTTCTGCCCCAAATGTAGGATGCAAAGGGCTCATCATGCTAGAACCTGGGACATTCAAGACAGACAAAAAGTAAGTACAGTGGTACCTCGGGTTACAGATGCTTCAGGTTACAGACTCTTCAGGTTACAGACTCCGCTAACCCAGGAATAGTACCTCGGGTTAAGAACTTTGCTTCAGGATGAGAACAGAAATCGTGCGGCGCAGCGGAGGCCCCATTAGCTAAAGTGGTGCTTCAGGTTAAGAACAGTTTCCGATTAAGAACGGACCTCCAGAACGAATTAAGTTCTTAACCCGAGGTACCACTATATTCTTCACAAGGCACATAGATAAAGTTTTGGGATTTGCTTTGACAAGATAATGTGATGGCTATCAGTTTGGGTCTGCACCAAATCTTTCAGCATTCATTGGATGCCTACAAATTCTAGTGTTATGAAAGAGAGAGAGAGAAGAACTTATATCTATCTGCCTTCTACATAATGTACAGCCGTACCTTGGTTCTGGAACTTAATCCGTCCTGGGAGTCCGTTTGACTCTTGGAACGGTTCGAAAACCAAGGCACGGCTTCCAATTGGCTGCAGGAGCCTCCTGCACTCAATCGGAAGCTGCAGAAGCTGAGTCGGATGTTCAGCTTCCGAAAAACGTTCACAAACTAGAACACTCACTTCTAGGTTTGCAGCGTTCGGGAGCCAAAACATCCAAGTACCAAGGCGTTCAACAACCAAGGTATGACTGTATACAGTTTCAGAAACTTCTGTCATGCCACCTCTAACAAGCTTTTTCTCTAAACTGGGAAGTCTCAAATACTGCAGGCTTTCCTCACAGGAGAGTCGCTCCACCCCCTTGACCATTTTGGTTGCCTGCTTCTGAACCTTTCCCAACCCTTCGATATCCTTTCTGAGCTGAGGCGACCAGAACTGTAAACAGAATTCCCAGTGTGGTCACACCAAAGATTCGTATAACAGTATTATGTATGGGCACTATGATATTGACATAAAAATTCCAGCTTGAAAATGAAGACTGCTTAAAGCACAAGTTGGCATAAAATGCAGGTTTTGTCACTGATAAACTATAAAAAGACTTAATGCCTATTCACGATTGTCCAGGGTACCACCTTCATTCAATGAGGCTAATCTGGAAGGCTCTGTTTCCCTGGCACCTAATTTATTTGTATTTTTATGGTTTGATTGTACCTTTTTTTAAAGAAATTGAGAACTGCCCGGAGAATTCCTGTTGTGCAGCAACCTTTTTAAATGTTGTTAATAAATAAATAACAACTGCATTGCTGGCAAGCTTAAACCCTTGACCTGACATACACATGTCACAGAATGTTCGCATCCCCATTTTTGTCCTAGGTAAATGGGGATCTGATGAACCTGCCTGTCACCCTCGCATCAGGGAAACTCAATGCCTATTGCAGTGTCTCTGGCCGCTTCGTCATTGTTGAGACTGATTTTGGCCTCTCTTTCTCCTATGACTGGGTTTTCTACGTGTCTGTTTCTCTTCCCGAGACTTATTCCGGCTCCCTTTGTGGCCTCGGTGGAGATTTCAATGGGAACCGCCTTGATGACTTCAGGACCCCCAATGGTACTCTGGTAAAGAATGCTCATGCGTTTGGAAACAGCTGGATGCATGCAAGCTCTCCGTTCTACTGCAGAGCAGTTGGGGCTCTGTCTGCGTGCAGCGAGACTGAAGTAGCCAGGTTCAGTTCGAAGGACCGCTGTGGAATTATAAGCGACGTGAACGGGCCGTTTAAACACTGTAACAGCCCAGAAGATGCTCGGCTCCACTTGGAAAACTGTGTGAGGGACATGTGCGCAAGCACAAGCAGCCGCAAGACTCTCTGCGAGTTGCTGCAGAGTTATTCCCAGCAGTGCCAAGCTCGAGGCATCAACATTCAGTCATGGAGAGAGATTGCTGGATGTGGTAGGCAATTTTTCAGTAGACAAAAATATATTTAGGGTACAAGACTCTTATTTTTCTGCAGGATTGAAGGAAATGTGTGGGCTCCATTGGGCACAGGATTCAGCATAGACTCAGCTTCCTATTCTTTTTATTATTATTATTATTCTTTAAAGGAAGCTCATGGCTGAGAAAGGGGTGCTTTCAAAGTCTGTGGGTGATACTGAAATCACAACAGAGGAAATTGCTAAGTAACAGATCTAGGAGGTCAAAGGATGGTGTTTAGAAATGTGTGTGGCTTTTGCCATGACTAGCTGAACAATAAATAAATTAGGCAAAATGATTTTAAAATGCAGGATGATCTGTGCAAAATAGGGGGAAATGTATGCTGGTTCCATCTACAAGGTCATAATAGTCACATTTTGGGGGGACAGAATTTTAATTATTTTAGCACAGAGTGCATACCTGTATATGCAGCGTGGCCTGATATTGTTCTTTGACACTGAAATCTGACTTGGCCACTTTCTGAAAAGCTAAAAAAGCACTGAGTATTTCTGTAACATTTGGCTATGTCAGAGAATAGAATTTCTTTTTGTCTTCCCAACCCAAGCAAGCCTTTTGGGATAAAAGGTTTTACAAGCAAGGTGGGCCTTTATCTCCTGCGCCATCCAGGCATTACAAGCAGAGACCTACACCAAAGCGTTGTATTCTCTGTCCAGGAACATTCTGGTTCAGGTCCCCAGTTTGCGTGGAACAGAAGCTCCATTTGGGGCATGCAGAGGGTGATGGGGTGAGGGAGAGACGGAAGGTGTTAGGATGGAGGAGAAACTTAAAGCAAGTGATTTAATGATATAGAATGATCAGCAGATCTCTGGACTAGGAAAAGTGCTGTTTCCCCTTGCTTCCATGCTGAAATATTCCCATTTAGTGTGGTGTCGGAATGCTTTTAAATCTCCCAGTATTCATCTGCCTACCCTTAGCCATGCCTCCAAGTGTTCTGCTCCTGGTGACTGGGATGTGTTCAAGATGGACAGCTCCATAAGGGAGCTCAAGCTGGAGCAGGTATAGAAACTTTGCTTCAGCACAGATTAACGGTGGCTTGAGCCTTAAGGTAAAGGTAAAGGGACCCCTGACTGTTAGGTCCAGTCGTGGCCGACTCTGGGGTTGCAGCGCTCATCTCGCTTTATTGGCCGAGGGAGCCGGTGTACAGCTTCCGGGTCATGTTGCCAGCATGACTAAGCTGCTTCTGGCGAACCAGAGCAGCGCACGGAAACGTCGTTTACCTTCCCGCTGGAGCGGTACCTATTTATCTACTTGCACTTTGTTTTTTTAAAAAAAGATATTTATTAAAGTTTCACAAGTTATACAAAAAGAAAAAAACAATAATACAAACAAAACACAAACAAAACAAGTATAATTTCTGTCACTTATTTTCTTATAACTTACTTCCCTGACCTCCTCATACCTCCCCTTTCTGTATTCCAATTTCTAATTCATCAGTTCAGCAAATCCTCTCCCTTAATTTTTATTTAATTTTTGACCTTTCTTTTCTTTTTACTTAATCATTACAGCTGAAAACCACTTAGTTTCTAAAATCAACATCGTTCTAGCATTCATTAATTTTACAATATTTCCTGAGATAGTCTTTAAATTTCTTCCAATCTTCTTCCGCCGTCTCTCTTCCCTGGTCACGGATTCTGCCAGTCATTTCTGCCAGTCCCATATAGTCTATCACCTTCATCTGCCATTCTTCCAAGGTGGGTAGATTTTGTGTCTTCCAATGCTTTGCAATGAGTATTCTTGCTGCTGTTGTAGCATACATAAAGAATGTTCTATCCTTCTTTGGCACCAATTGGCCAACAATGCCCAGGAGAAAGGCCTCTGGTTTCTTCAAGAAGCTATATTTAAATACCTTTTTCAGTTCATTATATATCATTTCCCAGAAAGCCTTAATCCTTGGGCATGTCCACCAGAGGTGAAAGAATGTACCTTCAGTCTCTTTACATTTCCAGCATTTATTGTCAGACAAGTGGTAAATTTTTGCAAGCTTGACTGGGGTCATGTACCACCTATAAATCATTTTCATAATATTTTCTTTTAAAGCATTACATGCCGTAAATTTCATACCAGTGGTCCACAACTGCTCCCAGTCAGCAAACATAATGTTATGACCAATATCTTGTGCCCACTTAATCATAGCTGATTTAACCGTTTCATCCTGCGTATTCCATTTCAACAGCAAGTTATACATTTTTGACAAATTCTTAGTTTTGGGTTCTAACAGTTCTGTTTCCAATTTTGATTTTTCCACCTGGAAGCCAATTTTCCTGTCCAACTTATAAGCCTCCATTATTTGATAATAATGCAGCCAGTCTAGCACTTTATCTTTTAATTTCTCAAAACTCTGCAATTTCAGTTTCTCCCCTTCTTGTTCCAAAATTTCCCAGTACTTTGGCCATTTGGACTCCATATTGAGTCTTTTCCCAGCCTTTGCCTCCATTGGCGACAACCACCTTGGGGTTTTATTTTCCAACAAGTCTTTATATTTAATCCAGACATTGTACAATGCTTTCCTGACAATATGGTTTTTAAAAGCTTTATGGGCTTTAACCTTGTCATACCACAAATAATCATGCCACCCAAAAATATTATTAAAACCTTCTAAGTCCAAAATATCTGTATTCTCAAGAAGCAGCCAATCTTTCAACCAGCAGAATGCTGCTGATTCATAATATAGTTTAAAGTCTGGCAGAGCAAATCCCCCCCTTTCCTTTGCATCAGTTAAAATCTTAAATTTTATTCTGGGTTTCTTGCCCTGCCAGACAAATTTAGAAATGTCTTTCTGCCACTTCTTGAAACAGTCCATCTTGTCCACGATTTGCAATGTTTGGAATAAAAACAACATTCTAGGCAATACATTCATCTTAATAGCTGCGATTTGACCAGACAAGGAAAGCTTCAAATTTGACCATATTTCTAAATCTTTTTTCACTTCTGTCCAACATTTCTCACAGTTATCTTTAAACAAATTTGCATTTTTAGCTGTCATGTTAATCCCCAAATACTTCACTTTCTTAATCACAGTTAAACCTGTCTCATTCTGAAACCTCTCCCTTTCGATAGGTGTTAAATTTTTCTCTAATACCTTGGTTTTTAATTTGTTCAGTTTAAATCCTGCTACTTGACCGAACTCTTGAATTAATTCTAAGACCCTTTTAGTACTAGATTCTGGCTCTTGTAATGTAAGTACCAGATCATCTGCAAATGCTCTCAGTTTGTACTGTTTGGCTCTGACCTGTACACCTTTAACCAGCTGATCCCTTCTAATCATGTTCAGCAAAACCTCCAGGACTGATATAAAAAGTAATGGGGAAATTGGGCACCCCTGACGTGTCCCTTTTTCTATCTTAAATTCTTCCGTAACCACATTATTTACAATTTGCTTTGCTTTTTGCTCTGAGTATATTGCACCTATACCATCCTTGGCCTACCCCCATCCCCTGGAGATTCTTCTTCATAAGTCTCCAAGAAATATTGTCAAAGGCTTTCTCCGCGTCCACAAATCTACTTGCACTTTGATGGTGCTTTCAAACTGCTAGGTTGGCAGGAGCAGGGACCGAGCAAAGGGAGCTCACCCTGTCACAGGGATTCGAACCACCGACCTTCTGATCGGCAAGTCCTAGGCTTTGTGGTTTAACCCATAGCACCACCCGTGTCCCTTGAGCCTTAAATAAGGCTGCAAATATTTTTTGCTTTTGAACTGCTGTGCAAGCATGGTACCAGCTAAGTTTGATGTTGAAGGAAGTGTAAAACTCTTCGGGAGGAAGTCTAGGAAGCTTCAACAACAACAACAACAATTTATTTATACCCCGCCCATCTGGCTGGGTTTCCCCAGCCACTCTGGGCGGCTCCCAACAGAATTAAAAGCACAATAAAACATCAGACATTAAAAACTCCCCTAAACAGGATTGCCTTCAGATGTCTTCTAAAAGTCAGATAGTTTTTAAAATTTCCTTGACATCTGATGGGAAGGCATTCCACAGGGCGGGCGCCGCTACCGAGAAGGTCCTCTGCCTGGTTCCCTGTAACCTCTCTTCTCGCAGGGAGGGAACTGCCAGAAGGCCCTCGGAGCTGGACCTCAGTGTCTGGGCTGAACGATGGGGGCGGAGACGCTTCTTCAGATATACATGGTAGGCGTTGCTTCTTTCTGCACCAGTTTATTTTAAAAATCTGGCTGTGTGCACATCACCAGCTTGAAATGCAACCAAGTTATTCCTTTTCTCAACTCAGATTGTAGCTTGGGGGTTTTTTTTTGGGGGGGGGGAATACATAAAAATGCTGAAGTTCATAAATAAACAACCAGATTGATACAGGATAGACATGGGTTGTGGCTAACGTTGTGGTGGCGCTGTGGTCTAAACCACTGAGCCTATTGGATTTGATGATCAGAAGGTCGGCGGTTCAAATCCCTGTGGCGGGGTGAGTTCCCGTCGCTCTGTGCCAGCTCCTGCCAACCTAGCAGTTCGAAAGCACACCAGTGCAAGTAGATAAATAGGTACCACTGTGGCGGGAAGGTAAACAGCGTTTCTGTGCCCTCTGGTTTCTGTCACGGTGTCCCATTGTGCCAAAGGCGGTTTAGTCATGCTGGCCACATGACCTGGAAAGCTGTCTGTGGACAAACGCCAGCTCCCTCAGCCTGACAGTGAGATTAGCGCCGCAACCCTATAGTCGCCTTTGACTGGACTTAACCCTCCAGGGGTCCTTTACCTTGCTTTACCTTTTACATGTGTTTAGTCCACTTCCCAAACTAGCAGTGGGAGTGAACTGGATGCCTGGGAGTGTGTGCAAAGGCTCAGTCTTAGCTAGAAATAAATGAATATTCTATGTGATGTTTTTATTTTCCAGACTTTACCTGCCCATCAAATAGCCGTTATGTACTCTGTGGTTCTCCCTGCCCTGCCTCTTGTGCTGAACTGGCTATGCCCAAGAACTGCAGCTGGTCCGCATGTGTCGAAGGATGTCAGTGCAATGCGGGGTTTGTGCTGAGTGGCATCGATTGTGTGCCTCTGGAGCAGTGTGGCTGCTTCTACAAGGGACAGTATTACCTGAAAGGGGAAACCTTCTTCCAGAAAGGAGAAAACTGCCAAAAGATGTATCAGTGCAATGGACCCCCCTATGCCGTCATTGCTGTTGAGTCCCTGTGCGGACCTGGACAATTCTGCGGTACCCAGAAGGGGGTGTATGGGTGTCATCCATTGTTGGATGGTATTTGTCAGGTTTCTGGGTTTTCCCACTACGTCACTTTTGATGGGTGGCATTATAGCTTTCAGGGCACCTCCACATACGTCTTGACTGAACTGTGTGGGGTGTCCAAGCCTTTACCAGCTTTTAAAGTTGAACTGAAGAATGAGAAGCAGTCCAGCAGCCCATTATCTGCGGCATCAGAGGTGTTTGTGCTAGTGAACCACACCCAGATACATCTGCAGAGCGGACACAGGGGCAGAGTCAAGGTAAGAACATTCTTACGTATTCACAGTTTGGCTAATTCATCATCATCATTTTTAATTTGTATACTGTCTTTCTATCTTACAATACTCAAGGCGGTTTACAAGCTGAAGAAACAAAAAAAATGTACATCTTATAATCTAATGCAACACAAAAATGTGATAATAAAACATAACTTTAAAATAGGCAACCTGCATCAAAAATGTAACATTCAACAATCATTAGAATAGTATTAAATAATAATAACATATAAAAGTTAAACAGAAATCCACTCAGCAGTTACAATAAATAATTTCTAAACTATAATCAATAAAACAATGGCAAGCCACAGTACAGTCATATCTCAGGGTTAAAGACGCTGTGGGTTAAATCTTTTCAGGTTGCGTCCCGCGGTGACCCGGAAGTACCAGAAAGGGTTACTTCCGGGTTTCGCCGCTTGTGCATGCGCAGATGCTTGAAATGATGTCACGCACATGCGCAGAAGCGACAAATCGCAGCACGCACAGACGTGGGTTGCATTCTGCTCAGGTTGTGAATGGGGCTCTGGAATGGATCCCGTTCGCAACCAGAGGTACCACTGTACATAAAATAATACAATACAAATTGAGAAGCAGAGACAAGAGGATGGTGGGGCAAGGCAGGTGGAAGGAGGCCTTGCCTGACAAAGTCTCTCCCCTCACAGTTCTTCCTCCAGGCACAGCTTCCTTATGAGGAGTCCCAGGGCCAGGGGGTGGGGCAAGGCAGGTGGAAAGAGGCCTTGCCTGATGGAGTCTCTCCATCTTATTTATTGTTAGGGTGCTTACTAAGTGCTGTTATATTCCAGTTACGACTAAAAGAATAAGAAGCAGGATATCGCATAGAAGCCAGTGCAATGTAATAATAAAACAGGTCTAATGACTGAACTGTGCACATCAGCACCTAAGAAAGATTAGGGGTCACTGACATCTCACGCTCGTCTTTTCTCTATTGAACCCACTAAGTCTTGTCCTACTTATCTTTTCTTTATTTTGTAAAATTTCAAACTCTTAAACCTTGCTCCTTCACCACCCCCAAAACCTGGGCAGATGGAGTGCAGCTGACACTCCATCGGAGTAGCCTAGTGCCACGAAAGACTGTTTAGTGTCATCAGCCAGCCTTGCAAACAAATCCGTACATGTTACTATTCCACAAGAAAAAGGTATTTACAGCTCTTAGAAGACTAACACGTTTACTGTGGCATAAGTTCCCCTTCATTGGATGTATGGCATGCATAATAGTGGGGGATTGTACGCAGTGCCATCAGAGAGAAATGAAATGCAAAGTTACAACAACTGACCGCTCAATTACAGCAGCTTTCTGTCAGTTGAATGAATTTTATTATTACAGTCACAGACCAGTTCCGGCTCACTTACAATATCAGGAACACAACAGGAATACATTGAATTGCAATTGGGTACAACAGAGACAGTACAGATACAGCGGCAGTTAAAAATATATTTAACTGTCAGTTTTTTTGGAGGGGGGACTACAATTCCCATCAGTCCTAGGAAGCATGGGAGCTGTAGTCCCATACAAAAGCTGGAGAGCACCATGTGCTCAATAGTGTATGTATGTATGTATGTATGTATTATTTATTTATTTATTTTTGTGTTGGCCTCTGTTTGAAATGCAGCATTTTCCTACAGCGGCTTAAAACATTAAAAAAAATTAATGATCACGATTTTGATTTCCCGCCTGGTTACAACCATCTGCAACTCAAGGTGGCGGACATAAAGTCAGGGTAAGGTAAAGGGACCCCTGACCATTAGGTCCAGTCGTGACTGACTCTGGGGTTGCGTCGCTCATCTCGCTTTATTGGCTGAGGAAGCCGGCGTACAGCTTCCGGGTTATGTGGCCAGAATGACTAAGCCACTTCTGGCGAACCGGAGCAGCGCACGGAAACGCCGTTTACCTTCCCACCGGAGTGGTACCTATTTATCTACTTGCACTTTGACGTGCTTTCGAACTGCTAGGTGGGCAGGAGCTGGGACTGAGCAACGGGAGCTCACCCTGTCGCAGGGATTCGAACCACTGACCTTCTGATTGGCAAGTCCTAGGCTCTGTGGTTTAACCCACAGCGCCACCTAAACAATTCAGCTCACAATGAAATCGAGCACCATTAAAACAGCAACAGATGTGTTTTAAATCGGCATCCTGTAAAAGCCCACCTTCTGCTGCAATCCTGTACATTCACCTGACAGCAGAACCCATGGAACTCAGTGCAGCTTGCTCCTAAGCGGACATTGTAGGATTGCACTGTAAATAAATAGACCTCACTCACTCTGGCAATTAATACTTGCTGTCTCCCACATGCACTGTGAGAAATTGAAATACTGTCTAGATACAGCTACCTGCCGTTTTCTAGAGTGATGGGTTTCGGGGAAGAAAGGTTCAATGTTCTTCTTTTGCTCACACAGATTGATGGCGTGGTCACAATCCTCCCAGTGCATTTGAAAAACAAAGGAATTGTCATTTACCAGCATGGGTTTTACACAGTTTTAAAGACAGACTTTGGGCTAACAGTGAGCTATGACCTGGCCCACAGCGTCTTTGTCACACTTTCCCCTCAATACCAAGGCCAGGTATGTGGGCTGTGTGGGAACTTCAATGGGGTCGCTGACGACGACTCGGAGACACGCAATGGATCTACAGTGAAGCATGCCTTGGACGCTGCCCTAGACTGGAGGTCAACAGACATTCCCCATGGCGCCTCTTCTGCTATATTTGGTCGGCGGGGAAGTCTTGTCCAGTCTATATCTCTGTGCTGGATAATACAGAATCCTGATGGGCCATTTGCCTCTTGTCACTTGCAAGTTGACCCAGAACCTTATCTGACACGTTGCATTTTTGACCTGCACATCTCCGCCGGGGACAACAACGTCATGTGCTGGTCCATTCAGACATATGCAGCGGCCTGCCAAAGAGCCAATGTAACCCTCCGGCCCTGGAGGACGGAGTTTTTCTGTGGTAGGTCCATTTTGTGATACTTGGCACACCCCGCAGTTTGGGGCTCTGCCCACATTGGCCCACTTCCATTGCAGCCCTCAAACTTCCATTTCCCAATGCATGACAATTGGTCCTCAAGGACATGTTTGCTTAAACATATGTGCTTTCTGTTCCTGTGACTACTGCATTGTTCTTTGCATTCGAAGCAGCAGAAGACAGCATAGTGAGCTTCACTGCTCATACTGATTCTAAGTGTAAACTTAAATTTTGGGGCAGGGAGAAGAAAATGGAAAAAATTAGTGCAGATTTGGAAGCATCCCATATGTGCCCTGCTGACTATGCTGTAGGAACAGCATTAAAAGTCAATCCTGTGAGGGCTGGCAGAACAGGTGAACATGTACCAAGGACAAAATCGTTCCCTCCATTAGCTACCTCAGGTACTGAGTGTCAACAGGACTGTAGTTATTCAGATCAAATCTGATCTGATCTGATCAGGGTTGTAGCCCAAATGAGGTCACTGTGGGACAGGCATCCCCAGACTCGGCCCTCCATCTGTTTTGGAACTACGATTCCCATCATCCTTGACCACAGGTCCTGTGGTGATGGGAGTTGTAGTCCCAAAACAGCTGGAGGGCCAAGTTTGGGGGTGTCTGCTGTGGGATAATCAGCCTCATACAACCAACATCCTTATGTCTAATTAATGCATGAAGAGGTTAATACCATAGAGTAAGCTGTCCTGCCAGGCTTGGCTGTGTCCACTTCCCTTCACCTTGGAGGAACTAGCTTATGAAGCCCTCCACAGTCTACTTGTGAAACTCAAACCAAGCTCAAGCCACATGGCTCTCATCAGCCACTCTTGAGTTCCTATAGCAATCATTTAGGAACTTTCACCACTTTGGAACTAAACTATACTTGTTGTTTTTATTTTGATTGTGAATTTTGTGGTTTTATATTTAATTTTATTCTGTAAACTGCCCTGAGACCTGCTAGTATAGGGTGGTATATTAATAATAATAATAATAATAATAATAATAATAATAATAATAATAAATTAATTACTGCCTGTGCAACCTTCTGACTGATGTATGGAAAAGCCCATGAACCTGACCACTGGAGAATTTGTAAGTAAACCACTGTCAGAATAATCACTAAGGCAATTTTTAAATTGATAAGCTCAGTCACTGTATGTAGATACTGCATTACAATGATGGTGGCACAAATACATCTTTAAGAGTCCTAAAACCATGGGTGAGAGCAATGGCTTTTGTAAGCAGTGAAAAATATAAACAACCACTCCAGGTTTTGAAAAATCCCTGTATTACTGTATTTTGGTGGTGGAAAAACAAACCATTTCTCATCCTTGTTTATCCTCTTCTTTTCAGCTGCAGATTGCCCAGCAAATAGTCACTATGAGCTCTGCAAGCCGCCTTGCCAAGATCTGTGCTTGAGCTCCACATTTAAACACCTCTGCGGCCCCCTGTGCTCAGAAGGGTGCGCCTGTGATGATGGATACTTGTGGAATGGAGACAAGTGTGTTCAGCCTGAGCAATGTGGATGTAAACACAATGGGCTGTACTACAATGTGAGTAGATTTCACCCTCCCTGATGCTGTTAAAATACCGTTTAAAAATACTGGCATGCAATGCTGTGGTGTTGTTTTTTAAAGAGAGAATTAAGATTACTCTGCTAGATTCAAAGCCAATATGAGCTTATGCAAGTGTTTAGACCATGTCCAGTCTTTACTGAACATTTATCCTGAATTGTTTGTGGGGAGGTTCTACAACAAATAAACACTCATCCTGGGTTGCTTCCAGAGTGTATACTCGTCTTCCCATTAATCATCCATTCATCTCATGCTTTTCAATGCATTTCCTCATCTCTTTCCTAACTGCCAAAACTCGTTTCCTTTTTAAAGTGGATTTGTTGCACTAGGGGGGAACAGAGCACTTTAATCCCCTTTAATTGTGCAAACCTAATTTGCGCTTGAATCCCTGGTGGCATCCTTAAAAGCACAAGGCGCACCCTAAGGCAGCAAGTGTATGCATGCTATATTATTTTCTTGTTAGTATTATTCATTATTATTATTCATTAACTGATGGTTGTTCAAATTCAGGTTTTCCCAGGGAAAGCAATGGGGCAAGAGGAAAACCACTCAGACCCATGCTTAGAAATTGCAGGACAAGCTGGAAGTGTGGACGAGCCCATAGTTTGGCCCTAGGGTCTCTTTATCAATAGCAGCCCTCCAAAAGGTGAGGGAGAAGGCTTTCCATCTCTGCTTCCCAACATCTTTTTGACTGGGGGAGACTGAGATTGAGCCTGGGGTGTTATGCACCCAAAGCGAGAGCTCTGTTATTTTGTCCTCCAAACAAATGCCTTTGTCTTGGAAGTCCTGATGTGTCAGGACATACTCATAGGTGCAGCTTTTCTCTGCCACTCATCCTCCCCCCTTGTGAGATTCTGGCTGCGTACTGATTGAAGACAAAATAATAATAATAATAATAATAATAATAATAATAATAATAATAATAATAGAATAAAATTATACCCGGCCCATCTGGCTCGGTTTCCCCAGCCAATCTGGGCAGCTTCCAACAAAATATTTAAAACATGATAAAACATCAGACATAAAAAAACTTCCCTAAACAGGGCTGCCTTCAGGTGTCTTCTAAAAGTCAGAGAGTTGTTTATTTCCTTGACATCTGATGGGAGGGTGTTCCACAGGGCGGGAACCACTACCGAGAAAGCCCTCTGCCTGGTTCCTTGTAACCTCACTTCTCGCAGGGAGGGAACCCACCAGAAGGCCCTTGGCGCTGGACCTCAGTGTCTGGGCAGAATGATGGGGGTGAGATGCTCCTTCAGGTATTCTGGGCCGAGTCCGTTTAGGGCTTTAAAGGTCAGCACCAACACTTCGAATTGTGCTCGGAAATGTACTGGGAGCCAATGTAGTTCTTTCAGGACCAGTGTTATATGGTCTCGGTGGCTGCTCCCAGTCACCAGGCTAGCTGCCGCATTCTGGATTAATTGTAGTTTCCGGGTCGCCTTCAAAGGTAGTCCCACGTAGAGCACATTGCAGTAGTCCAAGGGGGAGATAAAATACTGGCCTAGAGGAACAATCATCTGATGTGACAAAGGGGGTGATTCGTATATTCTTCCTTTCCTTTGCGCCTTGGGAAAGGGCCAGCAGAGACCACTATATATGTCTGCCCTCTAATTTCCTTTCCATTTTCTCTATGTCTGTTCTGCAAAGACAGAGCTCTTGCTGGTTTATATAGTTTCATATTTCAGAGATATGCTCATATATATATATATATATATATATATATATATATATATATATTCGTGATCTTTTCACAATGGCCATTCTTTCTCTCTTCATGGCTGCTTTCCCTACCAGATTGGAGACCTTCTCTGGCTCTCTGGTTGCACACAAAGGTGCAGTTGTGATGCTTCTTCCACCTTCCGCTGTGTCCCAGCAAGCTGCAGCCACGGACAGCAGTGTGCTCTCAAGGATGGCAAGCTGGGCTGCAGGCCTCGGCTGGCCACTTGCACCGTGTCCGGGGATCCACATTACTTCACTTTCGACGGGGCTGTGGCGCATTTCCAGGGCACTTGCGCCTACGAGATCTCAAAGACTGACGGCTCCTCTACTGACCTCTCCTTCCGGGTGGTGGCGGCTAACAAGAATTTCCAGAGTCCTCTGGTGTCCTTTCTTTACCAAGTGGAAATATGGCTTGTCTCCAAGCAGTTCCGTTCTCATGTTGTTTTGGAGCAAGGCAAAGATGTGCAGGTGAGCAGAACTTGTTGGACTCAAAGAAGAGGCCATGGGGTGGGAATCAAACAAAAGCAGATTGGAAAATATACATTATAGAGCAGCATAACCAGAAGCCATTCTTAAGGAACACATCCTATGAGGAAAGGTGGAAGGAACTATCTTATGTGAGAATGTTGTGGATAGTAGGAGAGGATATATTGATTAAATATTATCCTTTCTTCACTGTGCGAAATATGAGCAAGCCAGGGCTGAACTGATATTACCCTTGCTGGTACCTTTCCTGGGAAAATCAGAGGCTCACTATGTCAGGTTCCTACTGGAAGATCAGACAAACGCTAGAACATTAGCAGTGGCAAAGTTTTTATCAGTGGTTGCAAGAACCAATGATCCCTGTCTTCTGAACAAAATGCTTGTTTAACCTGGAGGTAGGCTGTATGGATTGTGTATTGCTTTATAATGATTTGTTGGGTCTCTGGACCGTAATAAAGATTGATTTGATTATCCTTTCTCACTCACGCTAGTGAGCCAGTAGCAGAGTACATTCCCCAGTGTATAGCAGAAACCTACGGTCTGCAAATAATAACATCCTCAAGGTCCCAGGCCTCAGAGAGGTTAGGCTGGCCTCAACTAGAGCCAGGGCCTTCTCGGCTGCGGCTCCAATCTGGTGGAACGCTCTGTCACAAGAGACTAGGGCCCTGCGGGACCTGACATCTTTCCGCAGGGCCTGCAAGACAGAGTTGTTCCGCCAGGCCTTTGGTCAGGGCACAGCCTGACTCCCTCCTCTGGTAACCTGCACAGAATTTTGCTTAATTGGTTGCCATCAATTTGATTTTAATTAATTTTTATAATGAAATATTTTTAGAATGTGTGATTGTTTGATTATTTGATTGTTGTTAGCCGCCCTGAGCCTGGCTTCGGCTGGGGAGGGCGGGATATAAATAAAATTTATTATTATTAGTAGTAGTAGTAGTAGGTAAACTCATTTGAATCTCTTTACTTAAGCCAGGCATGGCCAGACTTGGCCCTCCAGATGTTCTGGGACTACAATTCCCATCATCCCTGACCACTGGTCCTGTTAGCTAGGGATGATGGGAGTTGTAGTCCTAAAACAGCTGGAGGGCCAAGTTTAGCCATGACCGACTTAAACAATCCAATCAGGCTTGTCCAGATTGGGCTTGATCCTGGTAAGTTCCCCTTTTACTCCTCTTAAAAAGAATAAAGACACAACAGTTTTCTTTTAAAAGTAATGATAAGAAGTTTACCTACATTCAGTTCGCAGTAGGTTCCCTGAAGGCAGGCTTTTAGCTTGTACTTACAGAAAAGAGAGTGGGTTCATCCCATGTAGGGATTTGAGCCCATGTGCTGCTGGCTCAGAGCCAGCAGACAGCAAAGTACATCAGTATCAGAAGAAAGCAGCAAAAGAGTAAAGGGAAGATGGCTGCGTGACTGGCCCTTTTACAGGGGTCTCACGGGTCACACCCACCTACCTGGTCACATGCAGGGGGAGGATGCTCCAGACCAGGTGTGACAGGAAGTCCTCCTGGAACTGGAATAACATCCCCCTATGTGTCTACTCTGGGCAAACAGGAAGTGTTGTACTTGACTGCTTATGTTACATCCCACATCTTAGCCTGGAGAGGAGAAGTCTGAAGAGGGACGTGATAATACTCTTCAAATATGTTAATTCCCAGGGCCCATTTTCTTGAGATCTTTTTGAATCTGCCTATATTCTTGTGAATTTGCCTCCAAATCCTGATAGCTGCAGAGGACCATTGTGGTGCCCACCTACTTTTACCACCCAGAGGTGGGGGTGGAGAAGTCTAGGAAGAAGCAGTGCCAGCAATTGCAAGCAGCGCCTGTTTCAACAGTCTGGCATGTGTCTCCCACCATGGGAGAGGCGTCCTCCTTGGGCCTTGCTTTGTGATGTTGTAACCCACAATTTCCCCTCTGGACACTACAGTTATTTCCTGGTTCCCATTGGACTTCCGTTCCCTTTTCAGGTTGATGGGAGGCAGACCCCCTTGCCAACAGAGCTGAAGCAGTTGGCCAACATCACGCAAAGGAGGAACGTGGTGACTTTGAGAGCGCCCCCCAATCTGGAGATCCAGTACAATGGCCGCCATGCTTTGTTTGTCCGTGTAGGCCCAGAATACTGGGGAAAGCTGCACGGGATGTGTGGGAACTTCAACGGCATCCGCAGGGATGATAAGGTCTTGCCTGATGGCAAGAAAGCCAAGAACGATGCGGAGTTCGGCAACGCTTGGATGTCGGACAGAAGCCCCTCAGAGTACGTTTATACCCTTCATCTTTCCTTCGCCATTTATGGTGGTGCTGGTGCATTCACACGTGCATGGAAACAGGAGCTGATGAGGGCTTTCTTTGCTGCAGGACATGCTCTTCAACTGCCTTTGCTCCTCATGCATTCCTGCATCTGAATCAAATGCAGACTGTTATCCCCCATTTTCCAGTCTGACTGCTTTGTTTTCCTTCTCACCACTGGTCCTTTGATCCTTCCATTAGGCAGCAGATGTTGGTGGGTGGGAAGTGATGGGGAAATGTTGGAGGACTGATCTGTGTGACACGTGGCCTCCCTGTGCTTCCTAAGCCTGGTCAGTTTGTGTACATGGATCAGGTGTCATATTATCCTTTGCCTCAGGCAGCAATTAGTCTTGGGCTGGTCATAACTGTTCACTTGCTTATCTACTTAAAATGTCTGGCTTTTTAATGGCTTTATATATATATTTTTTCTACTCTGTTGCTTGTTCGCTTAAAAAAAAAAACACTATTTCATGGAAGGGTGTGGAGATGGCTTCATGACTGATAAACGGGCCAGTCGATCAGCTCTATGCAAATCTGCTACAAAACAGAAATATGTGCTTTCCCTTGCGCTTGGCATCTTTTCATGAATATGATGAACGTGTTTCCATAGCAGCCTGACCACTAAATTTATGTGCATCTGTCTCTGCTGAGAAACAGCATTCTGTGATTGGTTTCAGGGAGAATGGTCCACACCATTTCAGAATTAGTGTTCACAATGGGGACCTGCAATGGAACCTTGCAGAGCAGAGTGCTCTTGTTCAGTGTGCTAGTCGGTCATGCCCTTTATTAGATACTCTATTCCCCTTTCCATTCCTCACACAACAGGCATTATGTGGTCCCTGAACATGCTTATTCCTCATTGGATTGTCTGCCTTAAGAATTTTTCTACTACTGTAAATCTTGAGGTTCCACTAAGTATGCTGGTGCCTCCTTTTTGGGCCTTTGCGTTTTGGCTACAGCAATATACAGTATTTTTTGCTCTATAAGACTCACTTTTTCCCTCCTAAAAAGTAAGGGGAAATGTGTGTGCGTCTTATGGAGCGAATGCAGGCTGCGCAGCTATCCCAGAAGCCAGAACAGCAAGAGGGATTGCTGCTTTCGCTGCGCAGCGATCCCTCTTGCTGTTCTGGCTTCTGAGATTCAGAATTTTTTCCCCCTTGTTTTCCTCCTCCAAAGACTAGGTGCGTCTTGTGGTCTGGTGCATCTTATAGAGCAAAAAATACGGTAATTCATCACTTCCACTTGCTATTAGTATAAGTAACGGCTGTCAATCTCTTCTTTTCCTAGCCAAAAATAGGCACTTGAGGAGGATTGGGCATGACTGGATATTGGAAAGGAGCTGTTGTCCTGCTTGGAAGTTTTGGAATTGGGTAGATTTCATAAAACTCCTCTGGAGATTCACCAGAGCCCAATTTTGAATGTGGCTTAAATCTTGCCTGTTTGGGTTGATCTATGGAGTTTTGTACAGAATTTCTGAATGCACAGTAATTCCAGTTAACCGCTACTCACACTTTCAGGTGCAGAAATGACACCGGAGGATTTGAGCCTTGTGTAAAGCAGCAAGAGTTTGAGCAAATGTGTGGGATTCTAAGAGATCGCTCTGGGCCTTTCTCAGAGTGTCACTGGCATGAGGATCCAGCTTCTTATTATGAATCCTGCATCTATGACCTCTGCCGGTTCGGACCAGGCAATCTCATGCTCTGTGGAGCCATAGAAGCTTATGAAGAGATGTGTGAGATGCTGGGAGTGACGGTGCCAAACTGGAGGAAAGAACTTAAGTGTGGTGAGCATGGTTCCTCTTGAGCTATCTATGACATCACCACTTACAATGTGCAAATGTGCACACGTTCATTTCTATGTCTTTAGTTCAGGAGAGCTTTTCTGTTGTGAACCACATTCCCACAGGGGTAATGTGTTTGGGGCTTCATGCTGGCACCTGGGGGCGGGGGGAGAACCATTTTTGGCAAAAGCCAAAAATGAGAGGTGGAGTTTGCAGCACTGCAGGCTTGCATAGTTCTCTCGTTCTCTCTCGTGTTCTCTCTCTCTCTCTCTCTCTCTCTCTCTCTCACACACACACACACACACACACACACACACACACACAGAGTCCCTCCATCTCTCACTGTCTCTTTTTCTCCCCTAGGAGGAAAGGTTACAGCATTTGTGTTACACCACACCCCTACAGCAGCCCAGTTTTTGTGCCACATCCCCATGGCAGCAATTTTGTGATTGGTGCCCAAAGCACTTACTCAAAACTCCAAGTATGCCTGTTTGCCTGATGAGGTTTGTGTCCTCGGTGCTGTATTATGAAGAAATGCCCTTTCTAATAGACGAGATCCTCCTACACAATATTTACTCTCACAAGTAATTTCTATTCAGCAAAGCTTCCCACCATATTTAGTTAAATGTTTAGGACAATATCCAGCTAGGTTTTACTCAGAGTAAATGCACTTACATTAATGGGCGTTAGTCGTGTTCATTAATTTCAAAGGCTTTGCTCTGTAGAACTAACATTTATGGCTTGGTATTTCACCTGGGGGATAAGGGACATACCCCCCCCAATAGAATTGCCCTAGTGTCAGGTTCTGTTCCCACAGCAGGTGGAGGGGAGGCTTGAATTACTCATTTTCCCTCTTTCTTCTTCTTTTTGCAGAAAAAAATATCATTAAAAAAGAAAAAAAAAATGGATCCAGATTAAATCACTTGAAATTAGGACTTGTACACACTTACCTTTTGGCCCGTGCTTTCTAGGCACAGATGTGTGTTTTCCTGGTCTGGGTCTGAGTGTTTTTGTTTTGCCTTGCTGCTTTCCCCAGAAAACATAATATTTAACACTGAATTGGAGCAAATGGCAATTTGGGTTTTCCATGGATAGTTGTTGCTCTGATTCAGTTGTAAAGAGCAGGTTTTCACAGGGAATACAGCTTCGATAAGTGTGGATGAGTGCTTCTGTGGCTGCCTTTAAATGTTTGGGGAGGAAGGAAAGACCAAATCACAGCTCCCTTGCATCTATTTTGACTTAAGTTGCCAACCAGCATTGCAAAATAACGTTGTGGTTGTCTCTTTGTTTGGTGGCAGCGAGGCAGCCATGTCCTCTTCTTTTGGGGTCACTTGTTTTCTTTTACCCTAGAAATTGCCTGCCCGGCCAACACTTACTATGATTTCTGTGGCACAGCCTGCCCTGCCAGTTGCGCCAACCTCAATGCTTCTGCCCAGTGCTCCAAGCCATGTGTGGCAGGTTGTTTCTGCAGAGAAGGCCATGTTTTGAAGTCTGGAGTCTGCGTGCCCTTGGAAGAGTGTGGCTGCAGGCTGAAATGGCCACCGCTATCAGGTGGGCGAAGAGGTGATCCTGACAGACACCTGCAGCAGGAAATGCTCCTGCAAGCAGCCCGGCCATCCCATGGAATGTTGGGACCACACCTGTGGGCCTCTAGAGAGATGCAGAACCATAGACAGCATCCAGGGCTGTCACCCTGTGAAATACAGCACCATGTGGGCATTCGGTTACCTCCACTATATCACATTTGATGGAGTTGCATTTGATTATCGAGGTGTCTGCAGGTACACACTCACTAGGTACTGCGGCCCTCCCAGCCAGCTTCCTGCTTTCACCATCCATGTGACCAACGAACACATGGGCTCCATCGCAGCATCTTGGACCAGACGGATAGAGCTGGATGTCTATGGGGAACACATTGCTGTAGCAGGAGGGCAAGAAGGCAAAGTGCAGGTAAGGAGAACTTTTTGCAAGCTTGGAAGAACTTCACACACACCCCAGAGAACACTGCAGAACTGATTAGTAAAGAACCTGGAATCCCCAAAGAGTCACTAGCCTGGCACGCTCGTACACAAATACACTCTGCCTATACAGCCAATTTTCGCAAGTCTGCAGGATGTTTGAGGAATCGTCACCATCTAAATTTAGCAAGCATTTCAGGTGTCCTCCTGTCCCAAGAGGGGATGGAGAGGAGGTCACAATTAAAGGAGTTGCTCGTCAACAAACATGCAGCAGAATGCTAAGCATGCTCACTTAGCAGTAAGTCCCATCACATTCCTGGTAAGTGTGTTAAAAGATTGCAGCCTTAGTTGTCATGCATAGGTCAAAACTGGAAGTAACAGCAGTAGTCATGTATGTCTGCAAAAGTGGCTGCCCCATTGCATAGTAAGATGTAGATATGGCATCTCAGGGCCCCTGCAGTTGTCCTTTTCCTTGTGCCTTCCTGATGATTTGTGCTCATGATAGCATCGGGTAATTATACACCATCCTCTTTTTAATACTGTTTGTGGCTGCAGACATTTTGGGGTGGGTGTGCTTGTTGCTTTTCCATTGGTGCATGTCCCGTAAGGCCTGCGGCAATCCTGTCGCTTTTCATACCATAAATGTTCAGGGGAGAGCGGGGGCTGTCTTTTTCTTTCATTGCACTACAGCTCAGGAATGCCCCTCCATGCCCAAGCGGATCAGAACGGGAAGCCCGGCAATATCCGAAAGGTTGCCAATTCTTGTAGAATGGCAGCTTAAGGAATGAATATGAAAATAGTAAACTAAAATGAGCAATGATTTCAGTATATTAAAAATCACACCAGTCAATTATCAATTAATCAGTTATGAAATTGATTATGAAAAGTATTTTTTCTTTTCATTTTTTTCTTGTTTCTTTCTTTTATCTTTTGTCTTTCTTCTTTTCCAGTTTGCATTCTGGAAAATTGTGTAGATAAAGTGTTTTTATGTATGGTTATGTATTGTTTCTATTTCTTTTTTTCTTTCCATTTTTTGGGTAACATTTAATAAAATTTATTTTTTTTAAAAAAAAATCACACCAGTCAGCATGGGGGCAATTGTGGTTGGCACGGGGGTCTCAGTAGTTCCTAAAGGTTTCTGGCATCACCCTTTTGTCCTAGGTAAATGGCCTCCTGGCAAACCTGCCCCTCACTCTTGCATCAGGGAAGATCAACGCCTACTTCAGAGGCTCATCCATCATCATCCAGACTGATTTTGGCCTCTCCGTTTCCTACGACTGGTCTTACTATGTGTCCGTTTCTGTTCCCGAAACCTATTCCGAGTCCCTCTGCGGCCTTGGTGGAGATTTCAATGGAAACCACCACGATGACTTCAGGACCCCCAACGGCTCCTTGGCTCAGGATGCCCTTGCTTTTGGCGACAGCTGGAAGGATGCCAACTCCCCTTTCCACTGCACAGTGGTTGGGCTCCCGTCCTCATGCACCGAAACCGAGGCAGCCCAGTTCAGATCTCAAGGCCGCTGTGGAATGATTAGCGATCAAAACGGACCCTTTAAAGAATGCCACGACCTTGCAGATCCTCAAATGCACATGGAGACCTGTGTGAAAGACCTGTGTGCCACTCAGGGCAGCCATAAGACCCTGTGCATGGCCCTTCAGAGTTATGCTTGGCAGTGTCAGGTTCAGGGCATCATCATTCAGCCATGGAGGAAGATTGTCGGCTGTGGTAAGTGAGACTCCAAAAAGTAGAATTTTAAGGTGTCTTGTTGTATCGTCAACAGTTGGAATGGAAGTTTCCTCCCATTTTTCTTATTTTACCCATCTCTCCTTCATGGAGAGTACTCCCTAATTGAGGAAGAGAGACATAGCTCAGCGATAGAACATCTACTTTGCATGCACAAGGCCCCAGTTTTAATCTCTAGGTCCTCTGTCTGAAAATCCTGCACAGCTGCTGCCATTTGGTGTCAACAATACTGAGATTAGATGGACCAGTGGTCTGACTCAGTATAAGTCAGCTTCATATGTTCTTATATATGTTTCTTTAACATTGCTGGAAGTGTTGCACTGTGTGTGTCTTTCAGAGCTGACCTGCCCATCGAATAGCAACTACGTGCTCTGTGGAACTGCTCCCCCCGCTTCTTGCTCACAACCACCTGTGCCCAGGAGTTTCTCACCTGCCTGTTTAGAAGAATGCCAGTGTGAACCTGGCTCAGTGCTGAGTGGCACCACCTGTGTGCTTCGGGAACAGTGCGGCTGCAGCTACAATGGCCGATACTACCTAAAAGGGGAAACATTCTTCCAGGAAGGAGAGAATTGCCATAAGATATACCGGTGTGACGAATCAGTCCATGCCGTCGGTGGCGCAGAGTCCTTGTGCGGCCCCGGGCAGTTTTGCGGTAGCCAGAATGGGGTGTACGGGTGTCACCTGTTGTCAGACGGTACCTGTCGGGTTTCCGGCTTTCTCAGCTACATCACCTTTGATGGGCGGCATTATGGTTTCCATGGTGCCTCCACGACTGTCGTGGTTGAACTGTGTGGGGCACCAGAGTCCTTGCCATCTTTTAGAGTTGAGGTGAAGACCGAGAATGTGGCTGGAAATCCTTTACCTGTGATATCAGAAGTGCTTGTGCTAGCGAATAATACACAGATATCTCTGAAGAGAGAACGCCAGGGCACTGTCCAGGTAAGAACGTAGGAGCCATGTTGGAGGTTAAACAGGAAAGGCCTGGGCCTGTGTTGAGCTTCTGCCTAAACTCATCCCCAGACTCGGCAGAGCAGAAAAGTCAGTGTGTGAAGGAGGGGAGAGAAGAGATGCAGGTCCACCAGCAACTCAGCTAAGAAGCCAGTGTGGTGTTGTGGTTAAGAGCTGTAGACTCGTAATCTGGTGAACTGGGTTCGCTTCCCCGCTCCTCCACATGCAGCTGCTGGGTGACCTTAGGCTAGTCACACTTCTCTGAAGTCTCTCAGCCCCACTCACCTCACAGAGTGTTTGTTGTGGGGGAGGAAGGGAAAAGGAGAATGTTAGCTGCTTTGAGACTCCTTCAGGTAATGATAAAGCGGAGTATCAAATCCAAAACTCTTTCTTCCCCAGCCCTTTCGGCTGTCATAGGGCTGCAGCTTTGGCATCAGGTTGTAGCAGAGGAGGAATCAGAAAGGACATGGGAGGACCACTCCATCAGCCTGGAGACCAGCAACTTTTGACAACACTAGACATACACACAACATACAGACATGCTGGGCACACAAATTACTCACAGCCTCCCCTTATCAGTGGGCAGTGTTCTAATAAGAGAAGGGGGAAGAAGAGGAGGAGGGATGTGATTGGCCCTTCCATGCTTCTCAAATGATCAGTCTGATGACCAAGGATGGAATGGTTTGCGTCCTCATCAGGATGCAGGGCTGAGCTGGGCAGATAGATTTAGGCACCTCCCACCCCTAGACCATGTCTTCCCTAAGTGTCCCTTTTTTTGCTACCACCATAAAAATTGGGGTGGGCAGAGACAAATGTCCATGGGGAGGCAGACAGGTTAGGCCTGGATTAGGGCAGTGGTTAGCTGGTCTTAATGTAATGCAAGTCAGTGTCATTATTGCCCATACAGAAGATGGGATGAGAGAGAGAGAGTGGCTTCCCTCATGAGTTTGTGACAGAGAGGAGATTCAAACCAGGAACTTTTTCATTTGTTGCTCAGCTTCTTTGCCGCTGTGAACCCCAACCATTGTTCCTCTGCTGCAAAATGCTCAGATTATCCTGATGGAGCTTCCCACATATGCTATGTGCTGTGCCAAGAGGAGGGCCGTGGCTTGTTGCAAGGGACATGGTTGCAGCCGCAGTAGAAAGGTGGTGGGGAAAGGGTTAAGCACATGCCCACATTGGATGTATCTCTGCTGCAAAATCCCTTCTCCATGGCCACTTTGCAGCAAAGATGTGGTAATTGGGAATCCCTGACCCATCTTCACTCTGCGTAGTTTGGCCATTGAGGTTTCTGTTGTCAGGACTAACCTGCTTTTGTCGTTTCCTTTCATACAGATTGACGGCGTGGCTTTAAACCTCCCCGTGCAAATCCAGGCCCTGGGAACTGCCATTTATCAGCATGGCTTTTACACAACTTTAAAAGCAGACTTTGGGTTAACGGTGATCTATGACCTGGACCACGGTCTCCTTGTCACACTTCCCCCTCAATACCGAGGCCAGACCTGCGGGCTGTGTGGGAACTTTAATGGAGCTGTTGGTGATGATTTCCCGTTGAAAAATAGCTCCACAACAAAAAACACGTTGCATTTTGGTGACCTCGATGGATCTCGTGCCTCTAACCCCATGTTTGATCTCATCTGGTCAAAATCTATGTGCTGGATCATCCAGAATCCAGATGGGCTGTTTGCCTCTTGCCACTCCCAAGTTGATCCAGAGCCTTATCTGACCGACTGCATCTTTTACTTTCATCTCTCTGTCGGGGACAACACCACCTTGTGCCGGTCCATTCAGACATACGTAATGGCTTGCCAGAGAGCCAATGTTACCATCTCACCTTGGAGGACAGAGACTTTCTGTGGTAAGCCGAAACCACTACTGCCTCACAGTTTGGACTGCAGTATAGCTAATTTGATGTATTGCTTTTCTGTAACAATTAGACTTAAAACCAAGTTCTCAAATTGTGATCCATGGACTACTGGTGTTCTACAGGGAGCCAGTGTGGTATAGTGGTTAAGAGCGGTAGTCTCGTAATCTGGTGAACCGGGTTCGCTTCCCTGCTCCTCCACATGTAGCTGCTGGGTGACCTTGGGCTAGTCACACTTCTTTGAAGTTTCTCAGCCCCACTCACCTCACAGAGTGTTTGCTGTGGAGGAGGAAGGGAAAGGAGAATGTTAGCCGCTTTGAGACTCCTTAGGGTAGTGATAAAGCGGGATATCAAATCCAAACTCTTCTTCTACAAGAAGAGTGATTCAGGTGGTCTACAGAAAGACTGAAAAACAGTCAATAATATCTATACTTACGCTTGCACTTTATTCCCCCCCCCCATGACAATGGAGATTGAGACTGTTTTGACCAGGGCTATCAAACAGGCTATCAGGCACCTGGTCTGGGGCCTGTGATCTTTATAATATGGATAAGCACCCCCCTTTTTTTCTGTCCTCCATCCAAACAAGCACGAGGTATTATGAAAGCATGAGGACGCTTTAGCTGAGATTTCTGCATTGCAGGGCATTGGACTCTTGGGTCACTTCCAACTCTAAGATTCTATGGTGCTATAAAAGTTCAAGGACACATTCCAGCCAGGCAAGAACACTCAAGGAGAGGGTGCACAAGAGGGCTGGTGAGGTGTGAGGCCTGGAGTGAGTTCCAAGGGAGAGAGAGACCTAAAAGGCTGAATTTGGCCCCTTGTGTCTGCGGTTTCTCACCTGTGCTTTGGGACTTCCCCTCCCTTAATGACACTCTGCTTCTCATTCCATGTCTCTTCTTTCTTGAGCAGGCTTTGACTGCCCTGCCAATAGCCACTACAAGCTCTGTGGGCCTCCCTGCCAGGACGTCTGCTTCAGTGCTTGGATTAAGCCCCACTGCCTTCCTATGTGCATTGAAGGGTGTTTCTGTGACAGAGGGTACCTGCGCAGCGGAGACAGATGCATCCCAGAAGAGCAGTGTGGCTGTGTGCACAAAGGGCTGCATTATAAGGTGAGGGTCCACATCCCTGTTTTCCAGTGTATGTAGCCATAATGTAGCCACAACGGGCTTTTTCTCTCCTTGCTGCCTGTCAGGGAACTGCCATCGGAAGGACAGGAGGTGGAAAGGCTCACTGAGGTTGAGAGAGACGCAGCAGCTGAAGAGGGAACCAGTAGGGGGAGAGAAGGAACTCCAAGGGAAAGTGAGTTGGAGGGGTGGCTCAGAGACGCTTCCAGCGAAAACAGTGGGGAGGTCTCAGGACCTCCTATAGGGACACCCACTCCTTGCCGGAAACTGTCACGCAGAGAGTCCAGAAGACGTGTTTCCGTTAAGGAGCTTTTATGTTGGAAGAGATTCCGAAAGCAACCACTTTCGGACTCTGCTAGCGACTGACGCAGCCATGCCGGAGGGGCTCCGTCACAGGCAGAGGTTTGAGAACCTGATCAAACTCTGAGGGACTTGCATTTTACGCACAAGCAGCTCATTATCCCATCACACTGCCCTTAATCCTCAAATGGCTCCCATTTGAACAGTGCTCTGGAGTGATGCTTATATTTGGGACATTGTAGTAAATTAAAATGGCAGTTGCCTGGTACTGATTGGAGGAGAACTGGTGCTTCATTAGTCCACTGGGAGGACACCAGCATAAACAAGGAAGCCCCCCAGAGGGCATTCTGCTGAGTGCCCTCTCAGCCATGGAGCAGGCCCTGTGCTCCTCACTGAGTAGACACAGCTTTACAGTGGCCATATGTTGTTAAGTACAATTGTATAATTGACCCTGAAATTGAGAATGCCCGTGTGTGTTGCTGAAAAGTTTCAACATGGGGAAATTCCACTGGAGTGTACTAAGTTCTCTGGGCTCCTTGGTGGGTTGATAATTAATTGTTGTTGTTCTCTGCTAGCTAACATGGGAGTGTTTAACTATAGACCACATGGGATGCTATTGAATTGCAAATCTGCCATCTTGGAAGGGTTGTGGCTCTAGTCCTTTGTTGCCAGGATTAGCGGGAATAGAAATGTGTGAAAGAGTCTCCTGAAGGGAAAGAAAACAGCTCCAAGCAAAATGGAGGCTTTAGGAAAGAGAGTAACCTCTGCTTCCAAGTCTGTTTGGAATTCTAAGATGCTGAACCTGTGCTGGACAGCACAAGATACAGTGGTATCTTGGTTCTCAAACTTAATCCGTTCCGGAAGTCCATTCCAAAACCAAAGTGTTCCAAGACCAAGGCACGCTTTCCCATAGAAAGTAATGCAAAACAAATTAATCCGTTCCAGACTTTTAAAAACAATCCCTAAAACAGCAATTTAACATGAATTTTACTATCTAATGAGACCATTGATCCATAAAATGAAAGCAATAATCAATGTACTGTATTATAAAATAAATAAGATAGTATTGTAGATGATTTAAAAAAAAATTCTTACCTGCACTGATGATAGTCATTGTTTGGATGGGGGGCTTTTATCCATTTCCGCAGTCACACAGTCAATCAATCAGTAGCTGAACTGCGTTCCACACAGTCACCAAAACCCCCCGAAAAAGCCTCAAAAACAAAAACGCAAAATAAATAGCAAAAACAAAAGCGCTGAACCTAATCCATTCCGGAAGGCCATTTGACTTCCGAAATGTTCGAAAACCAAGGTGCATCTTCTGATTGGTGCAGGAGCCCCGGAAACAATTGCCGACAGCCAGATCGGACATTAGCCCTCTGAAAAATGTTTGAAAACCGGAACAGTTACTTCGGGGTTTTTGGCGTTTGGGAACCAAGGCGTTTGAGTACCAAGGTACCACTGCATTGTACGGAACAACTTGGGTGTGTCTTTGATGTTTATGTTCTGTTTTGAAGAAAGTTCTGCAAGTAAAGTTTTGAATCAAACAAAAGGGTCCAGACAACGTTTATTCCAAAAGGAATCAGGGTTGTCGTTGCTTTGCATCCAGTCACTTCAAGTTGTGCACCATTAATATCTGTGGCAAGTCTTTCAGCTCACAACCTCCCATTATGCTTGCAGATTGGGGAGCGGGTCTGGCTCCCTGGTTGCCGTGAGAGGTGCATCTGTGACGGCCCTTCCGACTTCCGCTGTGTCCCAGCCAGCTGTAACCTCGGCCAGAAGTGTGCTGTGAAGGATGGGAAGCTGGGCTGCCATACACGGTGGGGAACCTGCACGGTCACTGGGGACCCTCACTACTTCACCTTTGATGGGGCTGTGGCGCATTTCCAGGGCACTTGCGCCTATGAGATCTCCAGGACTTGCCACCCCTCCCCTCCCTTCTTCTACCGGGTTGTTGCAGAGAACAGGAACCAGGGAAACCCTCAGGTGTCATTTGTGAGCCGAGTGGAAGTCTGGCTGAAGAATGAAATGCTGAGCTTTCATGTAATCCTAGGGAGTGGCCAAACAGCAGAGGTACGTGGAAGATTTCTGGATATTGTTGTTGTTTAGTCGTTTAGTCGTGTCCGACTCTTCGTGACCCCATGGACCAGAGCACGCCAGGCACGCCTGTCTTCCACTGCCTCCCGCAGTTTGGTCAGGCTCATGTTTGTAGCTTCGAGAACACTATCCAACCATCTCATCCTCTGTCGTCCCCTTCTCCTAGTGCCCTCCATCTTTCCCAACATCAGGGTCTTTTCCAGGGAGTCTTCTCTTCTCATGAGGTGGCCAAAGTATTGGAGCCTCAACTTCACGATCTGTCCTTCCAGTGAGCACTCAGGTCTGATTTCCTTAAGAATGGATGCGTTTGATCTTCTTGCAGTCCATGGGACTCTCAAGAGTCTCCTCCAGCACCATAATTCAAAAGCATCAATTCTTCGGCAATCAGCCTTCTTTATGGTCCAGCTCTCACTTCCATACATCACTACTGGGAAAACCATGGCTTTAACTATACGGACCTTTATGGTGCATAGTTATTTGTGGGGGGTTGGAAATGCTTTTATCCTGCTTTATATTCTCCAGAGGCTCTCAAAACTGCTTACAGAAAATGCAATAAAAGTGATGTCAGAGTTTGGTATCGGGAACAGCAATTGCCCAATGGTGACAGAATTACTTAGGTGGCATTTCCTGCCCATCTCACTCTTGTTGGTTTTCCACCTCCTCCTTAAGGCTACTTTAAGCTGGCACCATTTTATTTATCTGCTTACTCAGATTTGGTATTTTATTTAGTGTCCTGCTTGAATTTCGGTTTAGCTGCCTTTGCAATTGCATTTTTTGTCGGTGATTTTTTAATTAAAAAATTCACATTGTTACAGGTTAGTTTTCCTTTTAGACACACTCCTATCGTCAGCGACCTTAGGCATTTATCAGATGGAAAGCTGGGAAAGAAGCTTGCTTCAATAAATCACAATTACAATGAGGTCCTGGGAAACAATTTCAGTGCGATTGCACTGGGTGATGAAATCTGTACTTTGTTGAGAAATGATCACAGGTGGCCACAAACCTTTCTCTGACACATCTGATATGCTTACTGCCTCAATCACAGGTCAACCAAGAAAGAGTACAACTACCCCACAGCCTGGGAGCCCTGGGTGCTATTTCCAAGGTCAAAAACATTGTGACAATAAAAACAGTAGCCGGTGTGGAGATCCAGTACAACGGCCGCCACACACTCTTTATCCATGCGGGACCAGAGTACCAGGGGAAACTGTGTGGAATGTGTGGGAATTTCAACGGCATCCGTAGAGATGACAAAGTCCTGCCTGATGGAAACAGAGCCCAGAATGACTTGCAATTTGGGAATGCCTGGAAAACAGATACAAGCCCAATGGGGTAAGAGGGGTAGATATTGCAGCGTTTAATACTTTGTTGGTATTTTTGTGGTATCATCTTTACAGTCCGATGAACGCTGGTGCCTTGGTGCGAGGGGAGCAATGTACAGAATATCTCTTCCCATCAATTTTCTCTCTCTGCTCAGCAAGGGGTGGTGTAGCGTGAGGCACAGGCAACAAGAGCATTCAAGTGAGCTGCACTGAGCACGTCCTCAGCATTCAGCTCAAGCCACCAAATGGTTCAGCACAGCCAGCGTTTCTCAAGTCAGTTTCAAAATAAGCCAACTTCAAATCACATGTAGCAGAGATGGCTTATTTAGCTTGAGTCTGTTTTAAACCATGACCTCTGAACAAGATTGGTAGGAAATAAAATGGATGCTAACAAAGCTTTTCTCTTGGTCACACTGAAGTAAAGATGTCTGAGAATTCCAGTGAAAATGGAAACATAAGTGGAAATGGCCAGTGTTTGCTTAGCTGTCCGAAGTGCAGAATGAAAATATACCTGGCGAATATGATTGATAATGATGATGATGATGATGATGATAAATAAATAAAAAATATACTCCACCCATCTGGCTGGGTTTCCCCAGTCATTCTGGGCGGCTTCCAACAAAGATTAAAAATACATTAAAACTGCTGCTTTAAGTGAAGTAATACGTAATTGATTACATTACCCCTATTTGTATTGTATTCCCTTTGCACTGAAATGAGCAGAACAACATAACGTGTATATATATATATATATATATATAGAGAGAGAGAGAGAGAGAGAGAGAGAGAGAGAGAGGGGGGGAGGATTCCTGGTTATCAAGATCCAAGTTTGGGGCAAGTACTTTTTGGGGAGAAGACTCCAGCAGGGATTTAAAATCACAAAATATCCAGCAAAATAAAGCATAGAAAATGTGCATTTTAAAATTCCCTTCAAAGTTTTCCACTTCCTCCAGCATAGGAAAGGACCATTGTTTGGTAAGTTAAAAATGGCTTACAGTACTTACAAACTCTCCAAAGGTCAGATTCATGTGCTTTTCTATAGAGCATTCAGAAAAAGTTTCATAGGCAGTAATACTTAGCTTAGTTGCAAAATGGTGAAAGTTCCTAAATTATTGGTATAGGAACTCAAGAGTGGCTAGTGAGAGCCATGTGGCTGAGCTGGAGCAACTAGCTCAAACCTCTTCACACACTGAGCTGGATTACCAGTTTCCTCCCGAAGGGAAGTGACATAGCGAAGACTGGCAGGACAGCTTCCTCTATGGTGTTAACCCCTTCGTGCATTAATTAAACTTAACCAGCCTCATAGAACCAACATGCTTATCCCACAATGCCAATGTAATTTACATGCAAGCCCAAGGTTTGCCTAGGCTCTTTCCTTTTCATGCCCAACTCTGGCCGGTGACCACAGAAAGGTGTCTGCTGGGACTAAAACCCCCTGTCTTTACTTTTCAGGTGCTTGGATGACACTGTAGCACTAGAGCCATGCAAAGATCCCCAGGAATATGAAGAGGTCTGTGGGGTCCTGGTTAACAAATCAGGACCATTTGCTGAGTGCCACTGGCATGTGGACCCATCTCCTTTTTATTTGTCCTGCTTATATGACTTGTGCCACTATGGGGTGGCTAATGGCATGTTGTGTGTGGCCCTCAGCGCTTATGAGGAACGGTGTCTTCTTAATGGGGTCCACGTCAGTGGCTGGAGAGCAGCTGCCCGGTGCCGTGAGTTCCAGTTTCATCAGCTGCCTGTTCATCTTGGGGGCAACTGGGGTTAAAGGGGCTTCCAGATTCTCACTCTTTTCGTGTGGGATTCAGTTACAAACTGGCAAATTCAGGTTGTGAAATTATAGCAGGTCGGGAGGTCTTATCTACTTTCCAAATGTTCAGACTTTTTGCAACAAGAAAAGTGACGGGAAAATACACTGGAAAGTCTGGGGTAATACTAGCTTTGAATCATAGAATCATAGAATCATAGAGTTGGAAGAGACCACAAGGGCCATCGAGTCCAACCCCCTGCCAAGCAGGAAAAATGATGCAACTTTGATGCAACTTCATTTAACCTCCCCACAAACAAATCAGAATGAATGCTGAATAAATAAATGGTGGACATTATCTGATCTCCCTTCAAACAAAACAAGATCAATACTTCTTAGAGAGGTTTTTTGGAAGCACCCCAAGTCTATTAACTAGAAAGGGATGGAAAACCAACCTTGGTGACTACACAGGGTAATTAAATGTAGGTAAAAACCAATCCTCGGAAAATCTGCTGTGCAGGTGCGAGGCTCATTATTTCTTCTGTTAGTGCTGCTGCTGACAGACTTCCTCTACTTTCTGTGTCCCTGAGCTCTCAGACTTCCTCAGAGCAGGGGTTGACTAACCATTGTCAGATGGCGGGCTGCATTCTAATCCTTGGGCCCTATTGAGATTTCCTCTACAGCCAAAGTGGCTTTCACTTCCACCCCAGAGGCTGGAATGTTTATCAGCATTCTGTGACTTCCCTTGCCTTTCTCCCTCAGCAATCACAAAAGATAATGAACATCTTGATATTTAAATCACTGGCCAGAGGTGTGCGTGTGTAACTCTGTGTGTGTGGTATCTTTAAAAACTGTAAACATTTGAAATGTTCCTCTCTGTAGCTTGCGTAGTTTCAACACCCCCATCCCCCTGCTTCTTCAATACACACAAGCTCACAGGAATAGAGGGGGTTCCTCAGGATATGGAACCATCAGGAGAAGACTTTGGAGCAAAGGTAGAAGGCCCCATTCAACAGTATAAGCAAGTCCCCCCCCTCCACCCAGGTATGGCTTACCACTTTGTGAAGCAAGGAAAGTGATGCATACTATGATCCAAAAAGACCCCTCTGTGTGAAGTTCAGAGTTTGCAATTACCTAAGACCACCACTGATTCCTGCAACTAAACCTGTTCCTCTTTCTCTAGCCGCAGCAGACCCCTGCCTTGACTTGGCATGTGGAGACAATGAATGGTGTGGTGAGAAAAACGGGAAATGGGGCTGCTTCTGCCACAGAGATTATAGCCCTGCCAAACGGGCTTCTTATGGTAAACAAGGACCACAGCTTTTCCTTTTTTGTCTTTGCATTTGCCTTTGAAACATGGAATCGCTTCATGTTACATAATGTTGGTATTCACACATTCCCCTGATGCCGTGCCGTCAAACCGAGGGCCACATGTGTGGGTCCCAACCATCCCAGAGCGGCCCTCGTCTTGCCACACGCTGGCGAGCTCCAGCTCCAGCAACAATATCATCAGCTGTCACCTGCAACAACCCAGCTGTCAGAAACAGGGCCAGGATGCCAAGTTCCTTTTCTCCCTCCAGATTACCGGTTGACATGCGGCGGCAGCAACAGTGCCGTGTCTCTCTCCCGCTGCCTGCTCTTCGCCGATGGATTCCCCGCTGAGGAACTGCATTTGGCAGATCCCACCTGCGCTGGCACGCTTGTCGGAGACAGGCTCCTCTTCTACTTTGATACTGTGCAGAAGACCTGTGGGACCACAATGGAGGTGGGGAGAATTATTCAGCATAAAGCCTCCCCTCTCCCCACCTCACTCATGAAAAAACACTTGACAGATATCCAGTGGCGTAGCGTGGGGGGTGCAGGGGGGGCCGGCCGCACCGGGCGCAACATCTGGGGTTAGGGCAAATCCACAGGTTAGGGGGCGCAAATTCATGGGTTAGGGGGCGCAAATTCACGGGTTAGGGGGCACAAATTACTTGCCTTGCCCCGGGTGCTGACAACCCACGCTACGCCACTGCAGATATCCCGACATGCAGCTGCTGCTCCAGTAAAAAAAGGCCTCTCTGCTGAAATAGGTAGCAGCAAGGTTATGCAAAATATCTCTGCCTGACTGAGATGCTAGAAAGCTGCTTGCCATCAGAGTAGACAGATGAGATGAGCAAGTAATATAAGCAGAAGTCAGTTTCCTATGTCTATACCAGGGATGTCCAACCAGTAGATTGTGATCTACTGGTACATCCCTGGCTGATCCTAGTAGATCGCAGGATGCTTATTGTGTACAAAAAGTTATGGGGGGAAAGCTAAAAAAACTCCTTCCCCCAAAAGATTACAACTCTGGGCACTTCACTCCTAAAAAAAGCAATCCACCCACCCCACGCACGCTCCTCCTCCCTCCAATGACACTGCCAGTTTTTTAATACTTGGAGTAGATCACAGTCTCTTTGGAGTTGGAAATGCCTGGTCTATACCATTTCCTGCTATCTGATCCTTTTAACCAGAGATGTTGTGACCCTGGTACTTTCTGTGTGTACCAGTGAGCTATGACCCCGCCTCAAATAGACCTCCTAAAAAGCAAGATTCTGGCAGGTAGCGCTGTGGTCTAAACCACTGAGCATAGGACTTGCCGATCGGAAGGTCGGCGGTTCAAATCCCTGCGACGGGGTGAGCTACCGTGGCTCAGTCCCTGCTCCTGCCAACCCAGCAGCTCGAAAGCACGTCAAAGTGCAAGTAGATAAATGGCGGGAAAGTAAATGGCGTTTTTGTGTGCTGCTCTGGTTTTGCCAGAAGCGGTTTAGTTGTGCTGGCCACATGACCCAGAAAAACTGTCTGCGGACAAACGTCAGCTCCCTCGGCCAGTAAAGCGAGATGAGCGCCACAACCCCAGAGTCGTTCGCGACTGGACTTAACTGTCAGGGGTCCTTTACCTGTACCTTTAGCCTCTGATACCTAACTGGTTTACACTAAGGGAGATGTCGGTATTATTTCCAGACTCCTGGAGACTGGGAGGAGGGACACTGCCAAAGCAAGAAAGGAAAATCTGCCCTCTGTGTCTGCTTACGTTGCAGTGGGCCTCACAAAGTTCTTTCATTGCATTATTTCCAGATCAACACAACCCATGCCATCTACTTCAACGCAGTGGAGGGCCGTGTGGAGAACACCTACGGAGGGGTGATCAGCAGGGATCGCTTTCTCTTCCTGCGCTTCTCCTGCGCCTACCCGCTGAACATCAACCTTTCAATGACATCTGCCATCCATCCCATCCAGGAGTGAGTTCAGCCGGAAGGACAGGACAGAGAAGCCAAATGCCCCAATGCAGGATTTCACATCCTCGTAATATTTGCATCTTTCCAGCGTTGGCTCCAGCAGCACCTGGTGCCCTGCAGAGAGCTGTCTTTGTATCCTCTCGCTGTGCTCCTCCCCATCTTTCATTGCTTGCATCTTTCAATTGTGGAAGCCTTTCTGTGCCTCTTCCACTCACATGGCTTCAAATACTCCAGGCCTTTTACCTAGGTTCACCATGTTGGCTCCAAAGTTCTTTGTTCCTTTGCTCTTATTCGCTTCAAATTTAGGTACCTTTGCATTCCTCTAAGAATCTACCTTCTGGACCAGACTGAAGGCCTCCCGGTTCAGTACTCTTGACTCCAACAAAGGCCAAGCAGAGTTTTCCCACCCTCAAAACATTGCTCTTGTGTCCTTCCAACCAAATCTTTCTTCTTCCTCACTCTTCATTGCCCATCAGTCCTCTTCCTGATCCCAAGAAAGTGCAGTGCTGCCCTGTTGCTTGCTCCAAAACAAAAGCATTGTAACTCTCTTATGTTTTACCCCTTTGATAGCATCATTAACACCACTCTCACCTCCGGCCAAGGGAGCTACCAGACCACCATGACTTTGTACCAAGACCCTCAGTACAGCCGGCCCTTCACCCAGAGCCCTATCCTACTCACTGTCAATCACAGGGCCTATGTGGGCATCAGCATCTCGGGGGCAGATGCCACCCACTTTGTACTGACCTTGTCGTCGTGCTGGGCCACACCGGACAAAGACGCCTCCTCCAGCATTCGGTGGGATATCATCACCAACCAGTAAGCTGCTTGCTTCTTCCTGTTTGCGTGGTCTGCTCGAAAGGGAACAGGGCTTACTAACTGGAGGAGACAGGCAGGGAGAAGAGAGAATTCATAGCACTGGAGAACAGGGGTTGAGAATCGGGAGAATACTTGGGTTTGGCTGTTGATGCTTTTTAGACATCGACCATGGACTGAGGGCCAGGACACCTGGCATGAAAGGGCAGCTAGAGAAGAAAGCCACAGCATTCAAGCTGAATACAGTGGTACCTCGGGTTAAGAACTTAATTCGTTCTGGAGGTCCGTTCTTAACCTGAAACTGTTCTTAACCTGAGGTACCATTTTAGCTAACGGGGCCTCCCGCTGCCGCCGCGCTGCCGCCACATGATTTCTGTTCTCATCCTGAAGCAAAGTTCTTAACCCGAGGTAATATTTCTGGGTTAGCGGAGTCTGTAACCTAAAGCGTCTGTAACCCGAGGTACCACTGTTTGTATTAAGAAGGGGAGAAGTAGAGGGACTGCAGTGTAGCAAGACAAGAACCTAACTTGAATATTCTCTTAACTGAGGATCAAACTAGAAATGATGTTATTCATATATTTAGTCCCTGCGTGACTGTTTTTCTTAAAACAAAACATATAAGTATTTGCTATAGAGACCTCAAACTGGGTGGATAACATTCTGGGCAGGGAGGGGGGAGTCTTAAACTCTTGCCCCCACTATGATCCTGATCAGAAACTGATCCCTCCACACTTACACACCCAGAGCTAGGCAGAGGCCCGGGCCAGATAGATAAAGTGTCCTCCCCTTTTTTTTACCCTGGGGATAACTGAAGTCTTATAAATAAGATGGTATATAATTTTTTTTCACAAAAGTTATGCTGACAAATAATTTTATTTCAAGGCTTGAACCATGTCTGCATATAAAGACAAAATGGAAAATATAGATAAATATGCTGACCGAGGCCCCCTTTGGAATCGGAGGCCCAGGCCAAGTGGCCCATATGGCACCCCCCCCCCCCAATCTGGGCCTGTACACACCTGATGTCTTCAATGCAGAGAGCTCCCTTCCCTCTGCAAAGGGGAGCTGCAGTTCTTCCAATTCAGACCAAAGGGTTAAAGACTCTCTCCTCCCTGTCCTTGTTGTGGTCTTGATCCCTTTCTGGCTCCTGCGTATAAAATTTATGGGGAAGGAAAACACAGCCCAAGGGATGAAAGGGATGGAAATGCTCCTTATTAAGGCCTGGGTCACAGAAAATGTGGTGCAACATCTCCAGCGCCCCTCTGCCCATCATTCCTTGATGTTGCAGAGATCAAGTATGAAAACGCCTCTATGTGAACCAGCCTAATGTGATTTCTCAGCCGATGATCAGTCAACACTCAGCGACTCCTAGCTGAATGTCAGGACTGTCTTAATGGAAGATCAAAACAAAAAAATTCCTTCCAGTAGCACCTTAAAGACCAACTAAGTTAGTTCTTGGTATGAGCTTTCGTGTGCATGCACACTTCTTCAGAATCTCGTGTGCATGCACACTTCTTCAGAATTCTTCAGTATCTGAAGAAGTGTGCATGCACACGAAAGCTCATACCAAGAACTAACTTAGTTGGTCTTTAAGGTGCTACTAGAAGGAATTTTTTTGTTTTGACTATGGCAGACCAACACGGCTACCTATCTGTAGCTGGAATTAATGGAAGATCGTTGTGATGACCCTGGATGGACATGAAAGTCTTGTGAAGGGTCTTTCGCACCTGCGAGTTGTCGTTTGATGCTTCAGTCAAACGAGTGATAAACTTGCACAGGTGAACAAGCCCTTGGTCTCACCAGGCCCCTGCAACTCTCAATCCTTTGCCCTATGCCACCTTCTCATTGCAGGTGTCCAAACCCTCGAGATGGCACCGTGGTAGTTGAAAAGGATGCCGTGTCCCTCACTGGCCATTTCTCCTTCAATGTCTTTGCTTTCATCCCAGATTTGGAGGAGGTGTACCTGCACTGTCGTATCCGCCTCTGCAGCTTCCTTACCGCCAGGTGCACCGTGGTGAGTTAGGAAAAGGAGGAACCACAAACAAGGCTGGCTCCAGGTTTGAGGGGGCATAGTGGGCTCCTCCCATGCCAATGGGTTGCCCTGGTGTTGTGGACTTAGCTGGCGACGGAAGCAGAGTTCTTTCCACTCCTATAGAACCATTTAAGTTTCCCACAATGCCCCCACCATAGTGTCATTCTGGGGTATTGTGGGAAATCAAAATGGTGGTCAGTTTCTCATAGTTCCCTGGAAAGCATCAAGGGCATTTAAATGGCAGCTGAGTGATTCCAATGCTCAGAATGGAGTTAAAGGAGTACCTAGGGCAGGCATCAGCAGTGGTTACCTGTGGGAGTCTGGGGCCTGGCAACTGCCCAAGGATGTTACACAGGGTCAAGGTTTCTGAGTCAGATCAGGCCAAGGCAACAGCTTTGAGAGCTGGTGATGGCCCTCATAACCTCACCTGGAGAGAGATTAAGATCAGAGAGGTGGAAAATTACCCAGGCGATCTTGACTTGTGTTAAAATCTAGATATGATCCTGATATACCTGCATCAACCTGGACAGAAAACAGACTGGCAATGGGCTGGGAAATTAGCCTGGCTGTCATCTTGGTACCCACGGGAGTGCTGAGACTACAGAGCTAACCTATGCAGAATCCTCTAGACAAAACAATAAGGTCCCATTTCCTCCCCTTCTTTCAGAATTGTGACAAGCCAGGCCCTGCGATTGCTGGAAGGAAGCCTCCATCGGGCATTGTCTCAGCTGGCCCTTTCTTGAGATATGATGATTCTCTTGATCAAGGCAAGACACTTTCCTCTCGGCACAAAGGCTCAGGCACCTGGGCCCTGCCTGGCATTGCCTGTTCTCAGAAACAACGCTAAAAGAATCTTTCTGCCTCTCGCATGACTGTGGGGCAGGGCGGGGGTGCTGCTGTTTTCTTACCCAAGTTGTAAATTAGATTAATTCAGCAAGGAACATGAGGAACAGAAAGTTTGATTTAATATATTGAATTAATAATAATAATTCTGGGGTGTTTGTGTGCCAAAGAAATGCAGCTTGTTGATTTTAAATAACCCAGCAGGTGTGTAATTTCCATTTCCTGCAAGCAGACATAGCATTAACAATGTTCATTAGTGACAGGAGTTCATCTTACATCTTAGGATAGCGTTCAAACAGTGAAAATCCGGACAGCTTTTTTTATTTTTTAGTTTTGCTCAAAGTTATTGCATTTTATTATTATTTTTGCAAAATCACTTTTTGGAGGCATTTTTAAGGAAAATTGCAAAAATGGCACTGCCCTACATCCAGATTTCCCCGAACATATTGCCAATTTCCACCCGGACACTGCTGCCGACTGCAGTACGTCTGGAAAATTCTGGATGTATCACAACCCTATCTTAGGAGAGCACAGCATTGTGGCTTGAACCAAAAAGAAAATCTGCAAGTATTCAGCTTTGCCATTTTGTCATTCAAACCGTGAATGCAAAACTTTAAAATCCAAGCCTTTGATATAGGTTGGCTTCAGTTGTAAAGACACAGAAATTTGGGAAACTAGTTCGTTTTAACTGTGGTTAATTAAGAAGCCTAGGTGTTAAAGTGCTGTTAAAACAAATCACAGCTGCATTTGTCAAACACTCCTGTCAAAACATACGCCTAGGTGGACCCGAAACACTTTGTACCTTCCGAAGCACTTTCTAAGTGCGATGCAGCAGTATTCCCCTGCGAGGCTTGTCTCAAATGATCTGCCAGTAACTGGACAGGGAAGCTGATTGATAACCATCTCTTCCTCTCTGCAGGGCTCCGGCTGGCCGCCAGAAGCTGCACTGCACCCTCCATCACCATTCTGCCTGTGCTGCTCAGTGCCATCATTTCCTGCAACATCTTCTGCTAATGCCTTTAATCCCAGACAGGGTTCTTGTTGGGAATATAGCTCACGGAGAGATGGAGATGGATCTTGAAATTCACCATCCCCGCGGGATTTCTGCTGCTGCTGCACATGCTGACACCCTCCCAATTTCTGCTGTGAAGGCAGAGCCCATTAGTGGCGATAGAAGCCTGCTGTTGTTTACATCAGGGGTGGGGAACCTCAGGTCCTCGGGACTCTAACCAAGCCACACACCCTCTTCCTGGGCCAAACATTTCACCAGCCCTGCTTCACATATTCCTTTCGTGTTTGTTTTTTATTGTTCAGCCTCTGGGTTTGCTCTCCACTGGCTTGTGTCCTGCAGAAGACTGCCCAGAAGGGAATGCAGCCTTGAAAAATGCCCCCCACCCCTGGTTTACACAATCTCTTTGGGACCACACTTGATGCAGTACCATTCAAGCAATTAGCAACCATGCTGATGATGCTCTTTAAAAAAATATAAGCAGGTATTGGTGGGAGGTGTGTTTTTTTTTGGAATCTGAGTAGCCTACTAATTTAAATGACAGCCCTGATCCAGTTTGGGATTACAGTGGAAAGCAGAATGATAAAGCCTCTGTACCCCTACTTGCCAGAGTCATGATCTGCATCACACAGCCTACCTTTGGTTTCTTTTTGTTTTTTTACCCTAAAAATAAAACAAACAATTGCTACTTGTACAAATGGTGTCCTCTCTAGTTTGGCCCTTATCTGAAGACGACAGTGAGCAAATCCAAGTGCCTCAGCTCTTTCAAAAGGTTTTCTTGCTTTGTTTTAATGTGTAACACTACAAATGGAATGAGCTGCCAACTGGCTGGGGGGGGACTCACCTGGATTGCTCCAGTGCTTCTGGATTTTTTAACTGCTGAAGCTGAACAAGCTCACCTTCTAATTGCTGCAGGTGAAACATTTAAACAAGCAACGGTGCACCCACATACCCTTCGCAGCCCTAGCTGAAATCCTGAAAGTCATTTTCACAACTGACAGGTCAGTGTGGGGTTAGAGTTTAATTTTGCTTTTGCATTTCCCCGCATCGGTAATTTAAATTCTGATCCTGCAGTGGTCAGAAATGCACACTTGGATTTAAAAGTGCCTCACTGCCATTCTGTTCCTTATTGGGAATTCACTGGCATGGTGATTCATTCTAAAATTAGGCATTAATCCTGTGTGTACACTTCCTTTCTGGCAGCCACAGCCATGGAGCTCTGCTTCCTCACACCTGTCTCATCAGCAGCTCCGGGGCTTATTTGGACTTCTCCAACACACGTTAGAGTTACCCTTCTCTGCTGTACATCTTGTGGCAATGTATATGACTTTACTGACATGACTGCCATCCTCATCAAATTTATCCGGGGACTAGTGGTCCCTTCCACTTTGTGGTGTTGGTAAGCAAGAGACAGGCGACTCAAATCTAGTTTCAGAGCTTGGCATCACCCTCTGAATCTTTTCCAACATCCTCTTGCTGATTCCCTCCATCCTTCGCTTGGAGTCTAGCATCATCCTGCTTCCCATCTGTGCAGGGTTATGCATCGCTGAACCTTTGCTGCAAAGTGCTGATACAACCCTGACCAGATTTTATTTTTTAGTATGTGTTTTTGTGTTCTCATTTTGCATTTGTATGATGCGAGCTGCCCTGCGATCTTTGGATGAAGGGTGGTATACAAATGTCATTAGTAATAATAAAAATAATAATAATTTGGCTTTACAAAAGCCCCTGGGTTGTTGGTTTTTTTTGTTAACATTTCCCAGAAGGTTTCCCACCCCCACAAAAAAAAACACAACAATTCTAAATCTCTTTTACAAAGTGTTGCAGCCCTTCCACAAACCTCTCCTCAAGCATTTGATCAGCATCCTAATGCTCAGTTCTTTCCAGTTTTTCTATTGGCCTTAAAGTTTCTTGAAGCTGTTGATGCCATCTTGCCCTTTGTCTCAGGTGGCAAAAGCATGTTTCGAGCCAAACCCCCATGGGGCAGTGTCAGGAAGGGAGCCCCGTGGGGCAGTGTCAGGAAGCACCTCTCTTGGGGGGAAGGGGGCAGCTCAGAGACCAGGGGCAGCAGCAGCAGCTGCCCAGAGGACTCCCAGGGAGAGGGGAGCAGAGGGGAGGGTGTTTGAACACCCACAAGGGAGGGTGTTTGAAAAAGGGTGAGAGGCAGGCAAGGGGTGACATAACTAGGTTCCTGAGCAGGGCTGGATTTAGGTTTGAAGGGGCCATAACCTACTGACGGTAATGAGGCCCTTTATATGTAGGCATCCCTATATATCGCATCTTAAAACGCAGAGACATCAATTTGCCAACAAAGGTCCGTATAGTTAAAGCTATGGTTTTCCCAGGAGTGATGTATGGAAGTGAGAGCTGGACCATCAAGAAGGCTGATCGCCAAAGAATTGGTGCTTTTGAATTATGGTGCTGGAGGAGACTCTTGAGAGTCCCATGGACTGCAAGAAGATCAAACCTATCCATTCTGAAGGAAATCAGCCCTGAGTGCTCACTGGAAGGACAGATCGTGAAGTTGAGACTCCAGTACTTTGGCCACCTCATGAGAAGAGAAGACTCCCTGGAAAAGACCCTCATGTTGGGAAAGATGGAGGGCACAAGGAGAAGAGGACGACAGAGGATGAGATGGTTGGACAGTGTTCTCGAAGCTACCAGCATGAGTTTGACCAAACTGTGGAAGGCAGTGGAAGACAGGAGTGCCTGGCATGCTCTGTTGCATGGGGTCACAAAGAGTTGGACACAACTAAATGACTGAACAACAATAACAACCCTATATATAGAAATAAGCAAACCAGTGATATTTTAGGGAGCAGGCTAGCAGGCGAGGCCCATTACTTACATCATAGGAGCCTACACAACACAAGACACTGTTCCTGTATGTAGGTTTTGCTTTATTTGTTTTTTATCTTATATTTTGGAAATATACATCCAGGTGTTTTTCTCTTTAGTTTTTTTTTTGGGCCCCCAAGAGAGTGGGGCCCTAAGCTATAGCTTGTTTAGCATATACGGAAATCCAGGACTGCTCCTGAGCCCCACGGGGGTGCCGCAGAAAGAATGCAGTTGGTCCAGGGAGCCGTGGACCCAGAAAAGTTGAAAACCTCTGCCTTAAAATATAGGGGGAAGGTTTCTTTCTCTCTGCCCCCTCCCCGGCTCTCAAATAGTACAGTCCATTCTACCACCACGTTCTGGGCAGATTCTTTTGAGGGCGGCCAGTTCCAAAGGGGGAAAGGGTTTTTTTTATCTCCCGCACAGTCCATGGGCACGGGGAGCACGTCATCAGGCGCAGGCACCCTGTCTCCCCCACCCCAAGAAGGCGGCTTTCCTAGATCCGAGGGTGGCGCGGCGCCTCCGCTGCCCACTAGAGGGCGTCCCTCCGCCGCTTGGCTCCCGAACCGGGCCGGCCGGCGCGTTGCGTAACTGTGCCTTGGGCCGCTTCCCAGCAAAGCGGAGCCGGAGAGGATCGGCGACGGGAAGATGGAGACGCTGTGGGCGAGCGAGCCGAGATTCCTCTCCTGGGAAGGGAAGGCGGAGAGGGCGCCTCTGCCTTGATTTATGGCGCCATCCAAGGCAGAAAGGCGGCCTTTGCAGCGCGAAAGGCGGGTCCGGCGCTCTCGCTCGTAGGCGCACATTTTCTCCCGCTGACCCAAGCGCTGTGCCTTTGAGACAGGCAGGAATCCGGCAGGTGCAGCGACCAGATGAGCGTGGGAGTCCCAGGACTGGGGAGACTCGCGCTGTGGGCTTCCCAGGGCCCCTGGCTGGCACATTACGGGAAACAAAAGGTTGGCCTCTGTGGACATTTGTCCTAGTCCAGGAGAGCGCTTCTTATCTTATCTTCTTATGAGGCTTATTTATAAACAGGGGGTGCCAAATATGGCACTCAGCTTTGATGATGACTTGCTGGTTATGATGATCACTTATATAGTGCCTCAAATTGACTTAACTGCTGCCCGGAGATTAAAATAAATATAAAGCGGTATAGAAATGACATGAATAATAATTTTTCTGCACAGCTGTAAGAGGCAGTGGTATATCATCATCAGCGCAGGGCACTTTGGAGCAGAAGTTCAAGGCCTAGATGCAACCACCAGTGTGCCAGAGCTGGAGGAAGTGAATTAATACACATTACCAGAAGGGCTTTTCAAATTGCAGAGCTGTCTCAAGCAAAGCAGCGCCTGAGGGAATTTCTCCAGTGCAGCTCCTAAAGGTGACACAGCCCCTCTTTGGTGTCCTGCAATCTCAAATTCAAAATTTGCACTTCTAAGACCTTTTAGCATCCCTCTGATAAAAGGTAAAGGTAAAGGTACCCCTGCCCGTACGGGCCAGTCTTGACAGACTCTAGGGTTGTGCGCCCATCTCACTTAAGAGGCCGGGGGCCAGCACTGTCCGGAGACACTTTCAGGTCACGTGGCCAGCGTGACATCGCTGCTCTGGCGAGCCAGAGCCGCACACGGAAACGCCGCGTTTACCCTCCCGCTAGTAAGCGGTCCCTATTTATCTACTTGCACTCGGAGGTGCTTTCGAACTGCTAGGTTGGCAGGCGCTGGGACCAGGAGCAACGGGAGCGCACCCCGCCGCGGGGATTCGAACCGCCGACCTTTCGATCGGCAAGCCCTAGGCGCTGAGGCTTTTACCCACAGTGCCACCCGCGTCCCATCCCTCTGCTATGTCCTACAAAATCCCTACTATCTCTGTCTCCACCTCCATCATTCTGCCTGGACACTGAGGTCCAGCACCGAGGGCCTTCTGGCAGTTTCCTCGCTGTGAGAAGCCAAGTTACAGGGAACCAGGCAGAGGGCCTTCTCGGTAGTGGCACCCGCCCTGTGGAACGCCCTCCCACCAGATGTCAAAGAGAAAAATAACTACCAGACTTTTAGAAGACATCTGAAGGCAGCCCTGTTTAGGGAAGCTTTTAATGTTTAATAGGTTATTGTATTTTAGTGTTTTGTTGGAAGCCGCCCAGAGTGGCTGGGGAAACCCAGCCAGATGGGCGGGGTAT